GGGGACTTAGGGGTGTGACTTCAAGGTAACTTTGATTTGCAATCATTTAAACATTTCGAGCTGTAAAAGAAACATATTGGGAAAGGTAAATTCAGTTAACAATACACGTGTTAGAACAACTCAGCTTTGAAGATCAAGGGCACTCTTATCTCCATGCTCACGTGTTTAAAGTATCTAGTCAGTTCCACTGAGAGTTCACAACAGGATTATAATGGGGACACACTCACCAGGTGGATGATTTACAGATTTCTGGTGCTCTGGTGCCATCTACTGAAACACTACTAAAGGGAAAATGCATGAAATTGTGTAAGCAGAACACTGAAGCATTCTGTAACACATAAAAACACTGAGTAGAGTGCTGAATGTTTATCATATATACTCGGTGTGTTTATGGATTTTAAAACAAAAATTCTGAAACTCATAGATTTAGAAAAGTGATTTTTTTCTCTTTACTGTCGCCTTTGAGTACATGCATTGTTTTAATTTATACTGCTGTTTCATGCATTTTTCTTCAGCTATTTTTTTATTTCTCCGAGATTCTGTATATATATATATATACATATATATATATATATACATACATACATACAATGCTACTTCTATTAACACATTATCCTAGTTGCAGTGGTCAAAAGACACTATGCAGATGTACTGACTTTAGATGGCTTCTTTCAAGTTCCAGAGGTTAGGGCAGAGAGCGCTGTCTATCGGAGAACACATCGGAATGGTACCTGGACTCATTTGCTCTGTATGGCCCAGACAGTTAATCTGTGACCCTGTAATCAGTCAAATGATAAGGCCATGTGATAACTAAGTACCTCACAAACCCAATCATTTCAGGTCTCTCTGTGTAACAGTAAGGATCTTTGAAGGTTGTATCTACTTATCATTTTTATGGTAATCTGATAACATGAACACAGGAAATACAATAGACAATTATCTAGGTGATCTAGAAAGAATTCCAGAAACACGATAGAAACATATCAAACTGTTGTAGGATATTTAGCAGCACAGCTTCAGCTTTTATGAATATTTATGTGAAATATTTTGCCTTCTGGCCTATTTGGTATGAGCACATAGGTAGCTGTTACTATATGAAAAGGCTCTAAATGAACCATGCATGGGGATTCATGGCCATCAGATAGTGGTTTTATAACTAAGCTATTTCTGTAGGGCAACTTTATTGCATTCCTACTGTAAGAGCTGTACTGTTTTTGTTTTGTGTTTTTCTTTTGACAAGGGAATACCTGGGAATGTTCTTGCATACTTTGAATGTATGCTGCATACATAGTTTCTTAAAGTGATTAGTTTATGCTTAGGAGTATTTTTTGTTACTTAAAAAGTGTTATTTAGAGTCATTCTAAAAGACTTTTTTTTGACAGGTTAGTTGTTTTCATTCTGTTTATCATGTTGAATAAGAGTGCTACTCGTACTTACAATCTGCTTGGAAGGGTTTTGTGACCCAAGCAAATAATTCTGGTAGTTCTCAAGTACTGAAATACCTTTTAAATAAGGTTAAGGCCCCTCTCTCTCTCTCTCTCTCTCTCTCTCTCTCTCTCTCTCTCTCTCTCTCTCTCTCTCTCTCTCACTCTCTCTCTCTGTCTGTCTCTGTATGTGTGTATATGTGTTTGTGTGTGTGTGTCTGAATGTAATATTTTATAAATAAGAGGTAAGTGGTAGTATTTTACTAAGGTTTTCGAATAGAAAAGTTTAATACTGTATTGTAATAAGTGAGTATAAAAGAAAATGTGCTATTGATTTGAGAAGGCTTTATAGAGACAGTACACATCAACAGAGAAGAAATAAAAACATGGGATAGCTTTAAATATTTTCATGGATGTTAAATTTTATCACACTACAGATGAAAGGATTTGGGAGACATTGAATATTGAACCACAGCTAGATCTGAAACATAGATGTTATCCTGTGACCAAGCTTCAGAATGCAGTTAATAGCACAAGTGCTTACTGTGACTCTTTTGGCCATTTGTGTCTGTTACTGATTTTTCACTAAAATAATTTTAGTAGGAGATTAGGTTGAATTAAATGTGGTTTTTGAGACACTTCCCATGAGGGTCCCACAAGGAACAGTCTCTATTTTGAAGTATTTCCAACCAGTACACTTTGGTTCTTAAAGGCCTTTGTTCAAAACACAGGCATAGGGGCTGGGAGATAACTCAGTAATGAATGTGCTTGCCCCATAAACATAAAGACACAAGTCTGGATTACTAGCAGCCATGTTAAAAAAATTAACAAACATGCCAGGTGTAATAGCATTGACTTTTGAGCCAAGTGTTGGAAAGTCAGAGACAGCAGGCTTCTTGGAGAGCTGAATCAATGAATACGAGGTTCAGTGGGAGACCCTGAAACTGTCTCCAAAATCAAGGTGGGGAGAGACTTAAGAAAGCCCCTCATCAACTACTGGCTTCCATCTTCCCGCCACTCACGTGTTCATATGCTCACATGAACATATGCATGCACTACTCCACCATATACACAAATGAGCCTTCACACTCTGCATCCATTGTTAGATTTTTATTATGAACACATGATAAGTTGTAAGGTTATAGTCTTTTATCATACACTTTGTTTTTGTGTTGCATATAATGGCAGAGAAGCTAATAAATTAGTTCAATAAGCAGAATGGTCTCCCAAATTAATGGTGGAGTAGTACAACCTACTCTAAAATTCCTCTTTCTCCTGTGACCAAAGTCATTATTTGTTTTCTTCTTCATATTCATTGATCATGTGCTTTCTGCCATCTCCAGGAAAATATTCAACCTCTTTGTCAGGGCTTGCAATATCCGTTCATGAACTCATGCCTGAAAACTGTTACCAGATAGGTTTGGCTTCTCCTTCATGTTTACTCTATGTTCAAAGTCACCTAAGAATTTCTCTGCCAGTGATCATATAGCAGATAAGACAAATCCCACTACAATAGCTTCTCACTCTTCTCATCTTCATTATACTACACAGTTCTTGCCAACTGTTAATTATCAGTCTAAATAGGGTCCATGTATTATTTAAATTACTTTGCAGACTATTAAATGCATTTCATTTTTCAGGGTGAGGTTCACGCATTTATCATGGTTGACTCTCACTTCTAGCAGCAAACCAACAAAACAATAATTACTTCCCAAACTTAAGTGAATAAAATGGAGTGAAGTTCCAAGGAACCATATGCTGTTATTGAGAAGAAGTGTATCAAACTATCTTCAGACATTGCAAAGTTTATATATGTCTCACAAAAAGATAGGATACTGCTTGTTATGGTTTCATATGTTCAAGCCAACTTGAATATTTTAAACTTTTTGATATATTCTTTACAATGACCACAAGTTATTTATCATCTCATTTAAAATGTGGTCTATTAATGACTGACATATTAATACTTTGTTTCTTCTTATTATCTCTTTTTCAAACTACATGATTCTAAGAAGTAAATTTGGAAGAAAATTAGAATGCATCGGAGGACGGGATTGCTTCTAAGGGGAAGTAAATTTAAACAGAATAGAAAGGTGCACTCTGACTAGACTAGAAATGGGGTAATCTTTCAAATAACATCTCAATCATGGATGGACCTTAATTCTGTAACTCAGTGACATTGTAGTCATTTTTAATTGTGAAATTATTCTCTATGATATTAGCATAATGCCAAAATCACATCATGATTTGGCTCAAAAGATGTGCACATTGATAAGCAATGCACTATAGTGCGTAAGTATGGATGATAAAGAGAAAAGTAGATGACATAAAGAAGCATACATAGTTTCATCTGTCTTTTGTTTATCTGTAAATACATATGTAGAAACACTTAGACACATGTGTATGTGAAGCAAGCACACACCTCTGATAGTACTTCTGAGAGGAGAATTTCTCAGACTTATTCTACTTAAGGAAAACCTCTTGACAGGAAAATACCTTACCTATTTTTCAGTCAATCTCTTTTTCTTCCTGAATATTGCTTGCTTTTCACAGCATTGCTTTTTCTCTTAGAGAATAACCTCCTACTGTTTCTGCTATCACTTAGTAAGAAGGGTGACGAAGCCTGTCCTTTCTCTGTGGATTGGACCCGGCTCCCATCACACTCACAGGACTTTCCTGTATCACATGTGTAAGCTTGTGACAGACCCATCTGATCCATGTCATTTCCTCATTATTTCAGTGAAACCTTTTTTGAAACAATCTCTGTTCACGTCTTTCCTCTTATGGGAATTACTTCGTCATCTTTGCTGGCCTTCTCCTTGTCATTTGTATAACTCCTGCATTCTGTCGTGGATTTTTGTTTGGGGCTCTGTTTCACACCCAAAGCTACAATGTCCATCTGTGTGCTCCAGTCACATGCAGCATGAGTACTGAGGTCTCCAAGCAGGTGCTTCTGAAGGAATTCAAATAAAATCAATACCATACCAAACTCTCCTCTTTCACTTGAGTTTTCTTTCCTTTTTCATTCAATGAAAATGTTCAGTCTATCTTCAGCAACTCAGCAATGTGTAGAAACACCTACGTGACCTTTTTGCTTCACTCCTCCTTCTGTCTTCCAAATACATGCAAAATCCTTGGGGCTTCTCCCTGAGTTGGTCATGGATGCTCTTGTCTCCCACTTACTCTCCCAATGTCACTTTCTTATTTAGAGTACCACCATTCTCTTTTGTGCTTCCTGTAGTCTCTGCATTTTCCTGCCTCTAGGTTAGCTTTGCCTTGTGTTCATTTTCTGTCTTAAAAATGTTGATTCAACCTTCAAATATTCTCCTTAGACCTCCCCTTGAAAACATCACTCTGGTGACTCCAAACAGTGAGAAAAACCCTTATCCTTATTCCTTATACGTTTAGGTCAGTGTGTAGTTATCTTCAGAATAGCAAAACTATCAGAAAAAAATGGGAACTTGGTTTCATTGAAACAAAATGTGCTGAAAATAAATATGCATCTATAATGTATAATTACATGTATGCTTTAAGTCTGAAATATTCTAAAAATTTGTTTAATTTTATTTTTTTCAGGGCAAGAGACCATTTCCCCCACTAATGGTAAGAATTAATATTTAACCTTTATTATTTTATTTTTGTTACAAAATCATGTATCTAATATAAATAATTTTTTATTTATTTGGTAAAGAAACAAGTTTGAAGAAAGTTAATAATACTGCATTGTTCCTGACTTTCACATGTTCTTACAATTCTTTCAAATATAAAGTTTGGTAACTATTTGAATGTATTTTTAAATTATATGAATATTATTTATCTTAATTAAACATTAATATTACTTAAAATGAGCAATAAGTGGCATGACAAGTTTTTAATCACCTTAAAAATTCAACACTGTAAATAAGTAAAAACTCCATAAATTAACATAAGTTAAGTTTTGAAAATGGAAAAGAAACTGTGATCAGAGTATATTGTATAAAAACTTTGTTTTCAATAAAAAAGAGTTGATTTAAGGAAGTAGAAGGAATCCTAAAAATAATTTCACATTTATTTAAAGACTAATATATTTTATAGCATAATCAGATCAAGAAATTTTTTACATTTAGAATTTAATATGTCCTCTTGTAGTTAAAAATTAAATTAAGAATATTTTTTCAAGGTTAATATGCTCTTCTCCAAATTATGCTTGGAGACCTGCCTGAATTTTAGATATTTTGTATTATTGTTTATAAATTTTCCAACCATAATTTAATTAATTTTCTCTAAAAGCTTCTGTGTTTTGAGAAAAACAAATTTAAATAATGATGATGTTGCCAGTACATTAAAATTCATTAGACCCCAAATTATAGAAGAGTTGACCAGCAGGTGGTTAGAGAGAAATTGAATCCCTTACATGTTGCTGTAAATGTTTGTTTCCTGAATAATCATGTGGTTGACAATGTGTCTTATGAAGGTAAGTTAAACAATAAAATACAGCTGTTTTAATAATTTAAAAGCACATTTCAAGTGGAATAAATCTGACATGGCCTGAAATTGGACTGTTAAAGTATTTGCCATTAAATTTAAGTTTATTCTGAATGCTAAAATACTACAGAAATACTGACAAATACCACCCTTGAGCTAAAAATAAAAGCATATTTTTATGTCTAATAATAGAATTTTATAGTTTCATTGTATGGCAGAGAGGTTTCATAAAACAATTCCTGTATAGCAGGTTCTGGTTGGTTCATGCTAACCTCTTAAACGAAATTTGGCATTTTCCTTTACAAAATATTAAGTCACTTTCAGTTCCACAGATGAGACACTGTTGTAGAAGAAGGCTATGGGATAGGGTGGTCATCTACTCCCTACCCTGTTGAGAGTTTCTTTATTTCTGCACTTAATGTTATAATAAGCAGATTGGCATGAAAGTGAGTTAGAATTGTGACCCATAATGCAAAGGAAAATTGTGCATCTCAGAAAATGTATTCCCCTCTTCAACCTTTTGAAAGATGGGGTTTCAGGCATGACCCATACACCTGATCCATCTAGACTTTTCCTTTTTTCCCATTTGGATTTCTAACTTTCATAATGATTTATTCTTGCTTTATCCTTCTCCACTATTGCTTATCACCTGCAAGTGTTTTCAAATTTCCTGTAGACATCTTATTCACTGGGTTTCATTCTTCTGAATTGAGTTGCTTTGGGTAGCTACCCAACAAGTAAATGGGAAGAGAGCTAAGATGAGTTCCTTCCAAGTCAATTTCCTCATTTTTATTTAAACTCTAATTACATAATTTGTATCTATATTTGTACCAATAATTGAAATCTATAGCCATATTATGATATATGCAATGTGTAAATTGTATGGGTATGTGCATGTGTGTATATGTGGGCATATATGTGTGTACCTAAGTATACAGATATCTGTGTGTATGCACATGTATGTCTCTCTATGTGTATTTTATGTGTGTATGTATATTTATGTGTGTGTATAAGTATGTGTGCCTGTATGCCTGTGTGTGTGTGAGTTTGTGTGTGTGTACTATATATTGGGAAGTTAGTACATGCATATGAATGGGCATTTTGAGACATGATTTACATGTTTATTCTCTTTCATTACTCATAACATAACAGGACTGAACACAACAGAGAAGGCCCTTCCTCTGACTCAGAGTGACCCTTTACCTGCTCACACCACTGAATTCACACCCTCAAGCATCTCTGAAAGAGAAACTGACTCCTCAGAGAACACCTATCTTTCAGGTGATCATTCATCCCAGGTCTCCCCAGAAACTTGGATAATCTTGGTATTCTTATGATGAAAAGTTGCCACACAGACATTCCTTACCAAAATGATATTAGTGGTGCCTTTGCCCTTTAAAAACTTACTAAGGTGATCAAATTTTTAAAATTTAAGTTATGCATGCAGCCTCTAAGCATCTGATTTTCTTCAGGTAAGTAAAGTGTAGGTGCTAATAGGTTTTCTGAGTGGAAATGATGGTGACATGATGCTTTAGATAGAAAGGGGGTGAGAGAAGATCCTGTAAGTAAATCAGTGAAGGCTCTCCATTGTCCTTGCATCTTCACAGCTGCCCAGGGACTGCTCTTGTCTACTGCTGCACAGACAGGCTTGGGACACTTCTGAACTTCCTTGAAGCTGCCCCAAAGTGGGATACTGTAATTTCTTAGCTCCATTCTAAGTTCACACTATCAGAAATACTGAATATAGACAACCATTTTTAACAGCCTATTTAGAATTGAGGATTGTTTGTGAGGTACATTTTTCCAGTGATATATGCAGTATTTCAATATTTAAAAAAACAAACACAGAATTGTGACATCTAGTAGTAGAATTTAAGGTGATGCAGCTGTTTTTATAGGAAGCAACAGAGGAAGTGGGGGTTGTTTTTGCCAGGGATGCCTTTGTGGCATTCCCTCCAACCTGAATACATCAGAGAATTGGGTTCCTGTTGCGTTCAATTTTAGATTTGCCAGCCTAGTCAGGACATCATCTGCTAACATGAAGTTGTGCACACATTGCTGGACTCACATTCTTAATGTAGTTTTCTTAGGCAAACAGGTTTCCAAACATATTCTATAAGACACCAAGTGAGTCTACTGCTTAACAGTACCTTTGACCTTGGCCTAAGAAAGTTACAAGCGTACGCATCACCAACACAGACATTTCAGTGTTTTAAGTATAATGATAGTGGTTGTTAGTAAGGAAGCAGTTAATCCAGCTAGCAAACTCAGATCTTCATAGCTCATTTTTATCCATGCCACGAGCAATGGAATCCCTCAGAACCTGAGTACACTTCAGAACAGATTTGTTTAATGCTTATATAGGTGTAAGGACAAAGGTCACTGGTATTGGGGAGACATACCTTTTCATTTTTAAGCACATTGCATATACACAACACACACACATATACCATCTCTCTTCATTCACATATTTGATTTGAGTATATTAAAACAACAGAGTTTCAGCTAGCCCGTTTCAGGAAAAGGCTTAAGGGGGAATTGACTGGGATTAAGGAAGAATAATATCCAACATTTCTTGGCACAATTTGATGAAGAGATTTACTTGGAAAATTTCTTATTCTCTCAAATAAAAGAGCATATTTCTTTTCTAGAATAGTATTGCTCTCTAGTGAGATTCCAGTAGTGTACTGAGGAAAGTTTATGATTTATTTTTTAATTGATCAGTAATTTTGAATATAATTAAAGTTTTCTTAGTTGCTGATATACTTAGGGAAAATCTTTTCATTCATTTTTCTAATGGTGTACACTATTCAAAATTGCCCTGTTTTGAAAATTCTTACAAGAAGTAGTCACCTGATCACATCACATTAAAGTATGGAATACTATTTTATAAAACAGTGTATGAACTTTTTAAAATAAGTATAGGATGGTGTTTGTATATATGTATGCACACTCACCAAAACTGGCTATGTATTACACAGTGAGAATTTACCCTCTCAAATCTTGTGTTTTAAATAAACCATGTTGCTCATTATTTTAAATGTTCTTGACGTTTGGTTCTGTGTGAGCCTGTGTGTAAGCATGCATGCATGACTATCTCCATAAGTTTTCCAATGCTGGATGTTATCAATCTGTTAAAACTTCCAGGAGGGCAATTTAAAGTGCTTCCTGTTGATTTTAATGTCTTCAAATTTCACAGTGATAAGCATCTTTTCATATATATTTTGGCTGTTGTTGGTATTTGTGCATTCTCCTGTTTCTCCTTCATGATTTTGTAAGCAACACTTTAGAATGTGTTAGAATTTTAGACTTTCCTGCTATTCTGTCTATAACGGCAGGTTTTCCCCAAGTGTCAGTCTGTAGAGTTGTTGGTGAATCCAATAAGCTTTCAGGGATCAGGAAGCCAATGAACTAAGCTGGACAGGTGCATCCTCTTGGGGAGGCATCTGTAAACAAGACCTCAGGGGCCACCTCCTGCCCCGGAAACTTCAAGATCTCAATAAATCGGATCACATTGCACTGTGGCAGCTTTGCTCCATGTACTTGTCTTAGAGTATGAATTACCAGGGGGCAGCAGAGATAGACTTAACCATCTCACTTTCTAACTTCAGGTTTTTCATCCACGCCGCTGCCTCACCATTTCCCGCAACCAGACCCTCAGACGCCCTCTGCCAAAGGAGCTGACACCCAGACACTCAGCACCCAGGCTGAACTCACAACACTCATGCCTGCTCCTGGCAGGCCTGACCCACCAGGTTTGCATGCCCTTTAGACATGCACAAATAAGAAGCATACAGTACTGATAGTCGCCTCTCTTTAAGAATGGTGGAAGGCTAGTAGGCAGAATCGGTTGCTTTTGAGATCTCACAGGTGGCCAGTTTGTGCTTAACTGAAATCTTAAAAGGCTGCGTGCATAGCCCTTCCTTCTCTTCTATTGTTGTGGATCTTTCCATTGTTTTTGAAATAGTGAATGGATGCTCCCTGTATTCATTCTGCTCCACGGTTTACTTACAGCTGGGAGTTTAGTGTCTTTTGAAGAGTGGGCCAAGAACCAACTCAATTGGCAAGGAAATTCACTTCCATTTCTCAAACTATGTGTATGACCACGTATGGATTGAATCCATCAGCAACTGGGAGATGGTTGGCATATTCTCAGAAAAGCGATTTAAATAACAGCTATGGGCCACTGATGAAACAGAGCACCATTAATGGAAATACGCACATGCTGACCTCACATGTGAGGCTAAGTTCACATCATTGAACCTGGGGATCTTCACAGTAAAATCAGCAAACGAGATCCACAATAGGAGCGAGCTCATATTTCTTTTGTTTTCTCCATGGCAGCTAGCATAGTGTTAGTCATATCATGGGTAATTGCCTGTTCCTGAGTTCTGGCTCTAATGTATGGGGGAAGCATGTATCAGGCATGAAATACTCTGAATCCTGACAGTGAAATTCTAAGCAGGACACACAGCTCTTTTAGCTACATCACTCGGCACTGCCAACAATTGGGAAATAAGGGGATTATGTCAGCATAATGGGCAGTGTGTTGATATAAAGCCAGGTTGATGTCTTCCTGGCATGGGAGCCTTCTTAGTAAATGTCATATTGTAACCAGCACCGGTACACAGGGCTTCCCTCTATAGAATGGCGCAGCAACCTAAAACTCTACGCAAGTACCAGGCTACACTTCTTCCTGGGAAACCTTAAGGATGCAACACTTTGTATTCAGACTTGTGCTTACTCTATATGGCCTTAGCGTATCCAAGACAGCATCCTTCCCGTCTCTTTGAAATGCTTTTAATACCAACTAAGGCAACACTTGACTGGGAGATTGGACCTCCTTTGGCTATCAAAACTGTTTTCCAAGGCACCAAATGCCTTTTGTTTGTTTGGTTTTTTTTTCTATCAGCTGGTACCTGAGTTGTACAGGTTTCTATATGTCTGCCTCTGAATTCATGTTTCTGCAAGTTCTCATGTTGACAGCATAGTCTATGGAATTATGACTATGGGATGGCTTAGGGTAATAGTTAGGGTTTGGCGATATATTGCACTGCAGTGGGTGTAGCAGATAGCTCATTGCTCTGCCTTAGTTCTGTAAACATATCCTTGTCAGCATGTGACATGATGGAGTGACCGTGTGGTGACCCTTCTGATTACAGGTGTGCCAGGGGAGATGACTACAATGGGGACATTTCCTGCAGACACAGCCCTTCCTACAGACACCCTCTACCTTGCACGCAACAGCTCTGCTGTCTCACCTACACACACCTCCAACATCAGCACCACAGGTATCGCCTCAGGTGTGACCATTATGTGGCATATGGCTTAGGCTGTGGAGGCTCTAAATTTGAATGTAGATCTTATTTTATCCCAGATACTATTTTCAGATTTTCCATCTTTTTTATCATCTTGGTAAGCAATTATGCAAAAGAAACTTATGAGGAAGCTTTTGGGGATAAATGCAGTTTTACTATTATTATTGCAAAGTTCATCACGAAAGAGGATAATATATAGTAATGGCCTGTAGCTCTGGGACTAAATCCAACTGCCTCAATTTTCTAAATAATCTAGGACAAGTAACTCAGTTTCTTTTCATAAACTCATTTCATAAAACTGATTTGAAGATATCCCTGGCATACAAATGGACTTCAGGTGCCCATCCCACAATGAGGGATGTTCTCCCAGCCTGGACTCTTGGGGGAGGGCCTAAGCCCTTCCCTGAATGAAATGGGTGGCTCTGGAAATCCCCCATGGAGGGCCTCACCCTCCCTGGGGAACAGAGTGGGGACTGGGTGGAGGGGTGGGGGCCTGTTGGGAGAGGAGGGGGAGAAGGGAAGGGAAAGGGAATTGGGATTGACATGTGAAGCAAGCTTGTTTCTAATTTAAAGAAAAAAAGAAAAAAACTGACTTGAAGATTATACATGCAGCAGGTTTAGTATAATGAATGTAAGAAAAGCAAGCATTGGTCTAATTAGTATCTAAATAAATAAGAAGAGCTGTAATTCAACAGAAAATGCTGGTTTGAGGAAAATTATTTTTTAGGTAAGAATTATACTAAGGAGTGAATAACGTGCCCTTCAAGTTGTGATATAAAATTTGCAATTATTTAAAATGTGTGTTATCTGAACCAGTTTGTACATAAGTCTTTGGTTCACTTTGTTACTTTGGAAAATATCAATTCAAACGAGGGAAGAATCACTTAGCAAATTAGCTTCAAGATAATAAGCTCATTAACTTTTATCTTTTTGTTTGTTTCCTTACAGGTGACAATCTTATATCCACTTCATCAACCATTCTGGACCTTGCAAGCAATGTCCCTGCAAACATAACATCAGGTGACAACCTCACCCCAGTTATGCAGGCACACTTCTGCCACTTCTGGGCATGCTCTCACAGACTTCCTGGCTTTCTCTACTTCAGGCTGTCTTCTTTGGGGAATCTCAAGTTATAATCATAGTGGTCACAGAACAGAATCTAGACACTGCTGCAGCACAGGATATAGCATCACTCTCATGCCTACCAAGAGTTGAAGGCCCACATAAGCAATAGCTCTTCTGTTAGAACGTACATCTTTGAAGAGCAGATATAGTGTATAATGGGTAATTTAATCAAAGCCTCTACCCTTTCCATTGAGCAGAGGTAGGGGACTGATGCCAGTTTCAGTCAGATACTGAAGGGCATGAAGATAAAGGTGAGGCACCTCCTGGAAGATCTGTGGCAATGACATTGTTTAGGGTCAGGAAGCCAGTGCTGGCAAGCCCACCCTTCTACCCAGGTTCTTCCAACTTTGAGAAGATTAGCAGAAATCCTTTTGCTTCCACGGAGTCAGACTCCCACCTTTTTTAGTTAAATCAGTGGTTCTCATTCTAGGGATTAAATAACCCTTTCACAAGAGTCACCTAAGACTATCAGAAATATGAGTTATTTACATTATAATTCATAACTGTAGAAAAATTATAGTTATTAAGTAGCAATGAAAATAATAGTATGGTTTGAGGTCACTACAACATGAGGAGCAGAATATTAAAGGGTCACAGCATTAGGAAGGTTGAGAACTACTGGGTTAAATGCATATATTAATACAAGATAATTGTTGTGAAGGCAATCAGCTACCCTAGATCTTGTGTGTGTGGAGCATATAGAGGTTAAACCTGGAAGCAAAGCAGTCTTTGTCTATTAACATCATCTGATTTACAAACAAAAACAGAAACAAAACCAAAACACAGCATCACTTTATAGAAGGTGTAGTTAAAGAAAATGTAGTTTGAGACCAACAAAGTGAATGAAGACTTTTAAAGTATTCTGGCAATTTTTAGACTTCGTCCTGTCACAATGCTGACATCAGATCTGTACTCAAAAGTCTACTTATTGCAACAGCCAAAGTGGTTTTTATTGTATATCTTAATGAAGACAATTTGTAGTTATCTCAGTTTAAAACATTTGTATGTTTGAAGTGAGAATAAGACATTAAGCAAACTACATTATGTGTTAAGTTTAAGCAGGCAGACTTTCCATAAATTGGAAAGTCTATGAGGCAGATTGTCTAAGATGAACACAGCAGACCGAGTCTAAAATAATGTGTCAATGATATCTTTTTTTAAAATCTCTATTACAGTTACTATTCAACCCAAGCCATCATGTGGTAAGTTTGCTGACCCAAAGGCAGCCTCTGTCACTTGGGAACAGCATTTCAATAATTTCTTTCTTCCAAGCTTTCAAATTTCATGCACTGTTTCTATTTCTCATGGCCAACTCTATGTCTTAAGATTCACTATCTTTCATTGTCTTCCTCCCCTCGTGGTGGAAGTCAAGTCCTTCTTCATGACCAGTGTTACCCTTCTATATTATTTTGAATCTCAGCACTACAGTCATGTCCCCATTCATCCAGAGTCAAGGTCAATCTCCATTGGTTTGTTTCCTTAAAATGATGTCTCAAGTTCAAGTTCCCTTCCTTTCGCTCTGTGTCACCACCTCCTCATTTCCACTCTTGTCTGGAATCAGATGGAACTGCTGCTATTTATTCCTGATTGAGTATCTTCTGATTTTCTTCCTCTGCATTCAGAGTCCTTCCATAACCCTCCCTTTTGGTGCCTGCATTTGTTTTCTGACACCTTGCTCATACTTGGAAACTCAGTCTAAATCATCTGGAGTTCTTCCTGCCATCCAATTTGAATAGATCTCTCTCTCCTCACTGTCTCTGTCTGTCTCTGTCTCTGTCTCTCTTTCTCTGCTCTTGTATTATTTTCTGTCTAATCTTATTTTATGTCCTTTCTTAGATCTTGTAATTCACAGATGTGTCCATCTCGGTTAATATTTACCCGTTTAAAAGTCAATTTCATCTGATTTGTCCTTGTATTCCAACTATTTTAAGACAAGGGACATATAGTTTTGTAAATTAAGAACAAGTAAATGGAGCCTGTGAAGATTAGGGTAAAGTGCTTGCCACACAACCAGGAGAACATGAGTTCTGATCCCCAATATCCATGTAAAAAGGTGAGCTTGGTAGCAGGTTCATCCTACTGCCGGGGTAAAGGTAAGAGGATCCTTGGAGCTACTGACATGATAATGTTGACCAATCAGATAAAGACCATGTCTCATAAAATTAGATCAAGAGAAATAGGGGAAGATGCCTGATGCCAATCTGTGGTCTCCATACTCATGCACACATGTGTATGTGCACTTCACATACATGCACAGATGAATTCATAGACATATACACATACACAAACACAGAGAAAACATTTAAAATGGGTATGTAAATTAACACTTCTTTAAAAGAAATTTTTACTAGTTAATAGAAATTGTTGACACTAACCAATAGGATTTATGAAGGGCTTATTGTCATGCATAATAACATTATATATGTAATGCATTGAATGAGAATTTACAATCTCTAAATAATTGATTATGGGAGAATTAAATGATTTATAAAGGCATTTTAAAAAACAAGTATAGTTATAAAGCAAGAATTACTTTTTTCATATGAGTTCACTACCAGATAAACTCATCTGTCAGTTAATTCAGTAAGTAATTATTGAATGCTTGCAAATAAACAGACAGATATATTATCATGAGCTGATGCTGATGATAAAAATAGACTAGTTTTGGCTCTCATGGACTTTACAGTTTTTCAGGCAAAACAGATGTCAAACCAATAATCATCTGAGCATAAATTGGGATTCTTCAAAAGAAAGGGAAATTATAAAATAATGATATAGGGGCACATGATATGTTTCTTATATTTTACACATTTCTGGGGATATTGTGTCATAACCTGTAATCTGATTTGGCAATATTTTGGTGTCTTATCTGCTGCTTTTAATTGCTGTTTGCTAATTGTTCTTTTACTTATATTTGGTGCATAGTTAATAAATTGACTCTTTTGTAAATACTTTTCTGTAAAAAAGCATATGTTAAGACATCCAATGCGGTCTCACTCATTCTGAGTAGTGATAATAATAATTTTCTTTTTTTCTCCAGATGAAAAATTTGGGAGCATTATTGTACGTTACAACTATAGCAGTAGTAAGAAGTCTTTTGAGGCAAAGCTAGAAGGTGACAAAAACCCTCAATGTGAAGCTGTGGATTGTGAAAACCTTAAAAATCTACAAGAATTCTGCTCACAGAGAAATTTCACTGTGTCTAATGGCTCATGTATTCCAGATAAAATTATAGAATTAGATGTACCACCAGGTAAATGCCAATTTCTTTCTATTTGTGTCTTTAGAACAACAGTAGATTTCATGTGTGTGTTATGGTATTCCTAGGGGCTAATGTGGTTAGAGAAAAGAACCTAGAGAAAGCAAGTCAACATTGATAAGAACGAGTTCCCTGCTGAGACCCATGGAGAGCATAAAGAAATACACTTACTACTTAGGGCTATCAACTGCCTATCTTTCGGTCTAGGAAAAGAAAGGTTCCTAGCTGGGCAGTGGTGGTGCACACCTTTAATCCCAGCACTAGGGAAGCAGAGGCAGGCAGATCTGAGTTCAAGGCCAGTCTAGTTTACAGAGAAGTTCCAGGACAGCCAGAGCTATACCGAGAAACCATATCTCAAACAAAAAAACAGAAAACAAAATAGCAACAACAGTAAAGAGGTTCCTATGGATTAAGAACAGTCTATTTTGTGAAATAATTATACGTGAGATTTCTGGTTCATCTTTTTGAATTCAAAATGTTCTTTTTGTCCTCCCCCCCCCAGAATTTTCTTATGTATATTAGGGAAAAGGACAAACCTAAACATATAAGGTTTTTGAAGAAACTAAAGGGAGAGTTCTAGTTATGTTAATAACAAGGTTGTAATCCCAGCATGTGGAAGGCCAACTGAAGAGTATTTCTCAGTGTTCAAAGGCAGCCTGGTCTACATAGTGAGTTGCAAGCTAGCCTGAGCTACAAAGCAAGATGAGACTCTATCTCCAAAACCTGAAACACATCAACAAACAAGCATCAAAACTCCAAAGATTTTTTGATCAAATGGAAAAAAGATCAGCTATTTTATCTAATTGCTTCTTGAGTTTCAATTATAAAAGTGGTGTGGATTCTATTGAAAAGAAACACACATTTGTATTAAAATATGTGGTATGTGAATAATATGTTGTCTTCCCTAATGAGTGATGAATGTCTGAGGTGGTAGATGACTGTCTGCAATTGATGACTACATATTATATAGATATATGCAAACATCCTATTGTATACAAATTTGTAGAATTATGTGTCAACTGAAACAAAGAAAAAGAGAAATCTTAAGATTGTGAATTAAATAACCAAGAAGTAGAAAGCCCTGGGAGTTAGTAGACTTCTCTCAATGTAAGCTCATGCTTTCAAACCTGGGATTCATGGCATGATTTCAGTCTTTAGTTGAGAAGTGACACACCTTCATGCCAGGAACTGTAACTTAAGGACATTCCAATGTTTTCTTAACAGATCCTGAGAATTTTCAACTGCATAAATGCACAAAACCAATAGAAGCTAATACTACAATTTGTTTGGAGTGGGATTTTGACAACAGATTTGGCTGTGATACAAGAAAAATTTCATACAGAATTCGCTGTGATAAAGGTAAGATACTGAGTAGAGAAATTCTTTCATCAGAAGTTATTCCAGAAATGGCTTAAATGTTCTTTCTCAGTGGTCTGTGGTAAATTAGAATATAATAACTCCAATATCTACCACTGAAACAAATTCACAAAACAGAAAAATGAAAACAACAAAAAACTATGGATGGTAACTATTGAAAAAATCAAAATTAACTGAAAGAATTTTCTTGATTACTGTTATATACCATGCATCATTGAAAAGATGATGAGAAGAGGAAATTATAAAAGAATGATGGTATCCATATTCTGTACATAGGAAACATGATATATAGATCCAGAGGCTACTTTCTCAGATTTCCATAAATGAAAATCTTTACAGATTCAAGAATATGCACATAAAAAGGAAGCAAGTGCTTCTAGGAATGAGCTTGGGTTTCTGCTGAAATAACATTTCTTTTAAAATATATTTGAATTCAATGAGATAGACTCTTTTCCTTCTTTGCATCAAGCCACTTGCCAGGACTCACTTGGCAATACGGACAGATGTGTACGTACCTCTGTGCATACACACAGAGGCAGGGGAGGAGAGTATGACCTGACTGTCATTATCATGCTTATGGGAAAATGCTGCGCTATGCTGCAGTGTGTCCAAAGTTGGAACATATACCTAATGAGCTATCAATTTTTAAAAAATTAGAAAAATCTGCTTAAGTAAAGACTAAATAGGGCATAATCATGTTTTTTCAACAAAGTTAAGTGTAGCATTGCTGTATGCAGTATCGTGGGCTTGTTATTCCACCATTTGCAGAGGTTTCATGCCAACAATAAGTCTGAAACACATGGCATCAGAAAAGAAGTCCACATGCTATGCATCATTTCATATACTCACGTGCAATACTTATTTCTTGCAGGTGATCCAACAGATTCTAAGAAAATAGAGCTAACTGGTCTGACACCCCAAATGGCTTACCAATGTGTTGGAGAAATCCTCTATAACAGCAACACATTTTTCAGAAAAGAAACATCTGTGACGACGGATTTGGGGAGTGAGTACATTGCTTACGTTTATAAAATAAATACAATTTCTGCTTCTTCTTTGGTCTTACATTATAGGGGGAATTACAGAAAATAATGTTATAGAGTCACAGAAAGCATATCAGAGAAGAAAACATTTTAAATGAATTTTTAGGTGAATTTAAAAGTAAATTATACAAACCTAAAGTTGTTCTTTTCCTGCTGTCCAAATTGGTATGTGGAAAGATTGCTGGAAACAGTTGAAATGGTTTACCTGGATAATTCCCACTTTCTACATTTCCTCTTCCATTCCTTTTATAACATTATTCATTCTGTATTCTTATATCACTCACCCTAATCATGTCCTGCTTCTGACCAAAGAGTAAAGTAAGCAAATCAACCAGTATAACTCAGGCAAATCTAAGTTGTGAATATAAAACAGGAACTGTGGCTATCAGTTTTTCTGGCAATAGAATTACTAACAAGATAAAGCTTAATAAATGGAAAGAGTTCTAGAAATTAACAGCATTTGGGAAGACAGAGGTGAAAAATTCCAATTAAATTTAAATCTGGCTGGTAAATGTTAATTTTGAAAATGGTGATTAATGAATAATAACTACGAAGAAGACAAAAGGTGTCATTGTTAACAAACTGCAAAGATATTTCTAGAATAAAGATTTTTTTATGTCAGTGGAGGGAAAGGAGAAGAGAAGCAGTAGAAAAGGGAGGGAGGGAGGGAGGGAGGGAGGGAGGGAGGGAGGGAGGGAGGGAGGGAGAGAGGGAGGGAGGGAGGGAGGGAGGGAGGGAGGGAGGGAGGGAGGGAGGGAGGGAGGGAGGGAGGGAGGGAGGGAGGGAGGGAGGGAGAAATAGAAACTAAAAGCTAGGTGTCATGGTAGATACACATACCATCTCAGATGCTTGGTAGGTTGATCAAAAGTTGATAGTTTGCCTGGGTAACTTAGTGAGACCTACATAGTGTGTGAAGGCCAGAACAATGAAAACAACCCACTCCACAAAATACATTATGATTTTCTGGTCTTGTACTAGCATGACTAATTTGCTTCCTAGCTGAGGACAAAGGGGATGTGGGAATCCAAGTCCACCCCCATTCCAAACTAACATTAACTATACCAAGAGCAAGTAAATCTACAGGATAACTAGACAAGTTTAATGTCATGTGGCCAGGGAAATTGTTCAGTGGGTAACGATACTTGCTGCCGTGCTTGAAAACCTGAGTTTGTTCACAGTTTGCACATGATAAAGCGAAAGAAAGAACCGACTTCTGTAAATTGCTTTCTCACTCTCATATGCACTTTCCACACACACACCACACGCATGCACACTTGGACATGGACACAGACATACAAATAAATAAACTAAGATTAGTGCGACCTTTTAAAATCAGTGTACCATAATGGGGAATCTTTAAAAAAACATTGTTTATATTTGATAAAATGCAAGTCATATCAGTTGTTTTAGTACCGCTATAGAGAAAGGCTATCAAATGGCCATCAGTCATTGGGTCTCAAAGCATACACAATCTCATTGCTCTAAAAGTTAAAGTTATAAAGTGCCTAATCAAAAGCATGTGGGATACTCTTTGCATTTTCAGAGTAGGCAAGTTTTATTAAGAAAAAAACAGAAGAATCATAAAAAGATCTATAAATTGGACTTCATCGTTGAATGCTTCTCTTTGAAGTGATTGAAGGAAATAGCACACAAATTGTGTACTGTGGGAAGTATCCATGATTTATTTGTATTTGACATTGACAGTTTCCCAAAATACATAGAAAGAGCTTTCAATTACAAAACAAGACATCAACTATTCCAATTGAAATAAAGGAAAGCATTTTGACTGCGCATTTCACAAAAGCTATACAAATGGTGACCGAACTCATGGAAAACTACACAGCCTCATTAGCCACCTGGTAAATGAAAGTCAAAAACAAGATGGGGATTATACAAACATCCACTAACAAAAGGCTGACAGTATTATTAGTGAGAATGTAGCAACTCACCCAGCATAAGAAGAAAGACGATACCTGTAAAGGAAAGTAGATTCATGCATATGCATCCACTCTTGGAAAGACCTCAAACAGCCACCAAGTGTTCAATAATAGAGAATACTTGGCGTAGGCTAATGAAGAATGCTGCTTAACTTTCCTTGCTCTATTGAGACAGTTACCATGGAAAGATAAAAATATTCATTTAGACCCTGTGGCACTGGGTCTCCCGTAGGGACAGCGGCTAACAATGGTATGGATGTATCTTGAAGGTGACTCCTGATCTCGTGTGTCATGAAGGAAAAAGAAAAGAGAAGAATGGGAACCCTTGATTCCATATGAGGGATGCTCTCAATAACCCAAAGATGGTGAACTTGCCTTACCTTTCCAACAGACCACCAAGATACGGGCAGTCAACATTCAAGCCATAGCCTTCCTGATAACTAAAAAGACATAGTTATAATGTGTAAAAAAATTCAAGGGCTATATTGAAACCAATATAATTTGTGTAAAATGTCACTGGTTAATTCTATTTACATATAATGAATACAAAGTTACATTGAATTTACAGCATCATAAAGTAGACCAGAGATTATGTGGTGTCTCAAGGGGACTTATTTTGACTGTCAAGTGGCATAGGAGGACAATAGAAATGTTCTATATTGTGGTGGTAGGACATAGATGCATAAATTTGTAACTCACCAAGCTATACCTTATCAAGTGTCAGTGATTGTAAATTGTGTCTCATTAATTTTATTGAATATTCACACAGTAGCTTCTCGAAATATCAAAATATCTGAACAGCATTATCTGTTAGAAGAGAATATTTTCAGACATTCTTCAAATCAGTGGGGTGTCTAGATTTCCTACTGCTGTATTGGAGCAAAATACACTCTATGGAAGAGATCTGATCTAAGGGAAGCAGCATAAGTCTGAGAACTTCATTGAAATCTTAATTCATAATCAGTCAAAAGATAGCTGTTAGTGATTCCAGCTTGTTATGTAAGTACTATTTTTTCAGTGTCTTAATTTTTCCATTATAACTTTTTTCTTTTTCTTTCTTTTAAACAGCTCCAAAGAAGCCCAAGGATCTTAAGTGTGGGGATGTTACTGAGAACACAACTTCAGTTACCTGGACTCACCCTTCACCTTTTCCCCATGGATATTATTTATATTTATGTCTCAATAAGACCAATCCAGGTAATTTTGTAAAATGTAATTCTCACAAAGAAAGACAAATAAAGAGTTTTAAAGTGCTGGGACTATGGTTTTAGCCACGGATCTGCAGGGATTTTATGTAGATGGTGAAGGATTTCTGTGTGTCTGTGTTTCAGAACTGTTATTCACAAAGGGCTTTACAGATTCAGATATAGCAAAATGCAAGAATATTTCCTATCACCTGCTTAATTTCTTTAATCTTTCTTAACTTTAGTCTTGACATTTAAAGCCCAGAGAAGGAAAATTTTCTTACAAATAATCATGTTCCCATTCTGCAAATGTTAAACAATTGTTCTATACTGTTTTGAAATCATTACTGAAGCCCCTAGATAAGCAAGCCGACAAATGCAGACACACAATATTGTGTGAATGAAAATTATCGCCATCCCATTCATCCACTGGAAGTGGAAACTTGGGTAATATTAGTTCTTAATTAGTCTGCTTCAGAAATTAATGTTATCCCCAAAACAGGGCATGACTAGTTTTATATCAGTCTGCTTAAATGAACAGGTATCTTCTGGAGAAGATCAAATACCTAGAATATTTATAGAAAACAGCCAACAGGACTAGAGCATCCCAATGCAGCCTGCACATCAGACAACCCTTTACCTCTGGGCTAAGGTCACAATGAACTGAGCATGCACTGAGTCCTCCCTGTGTTTGTCTGTAAGAAACCAGATATAAGTCACAAAATTCAAAAACAAAAGAGCCATTTGTGTAACATTTTCCCCCTTATTCTTGAAATCACAATAATTAAACGACTAAAAGAAAGTTAAGAGGCATGCTTTCCTTAGGCAGAGTTATGGAGATGAAATATAATTAGTATATTTGAGATTCTGATAAATCAACAATAGATTGAAAAGACAGGAGAAATAGAGATTTTAGGAAGACAAAACACTTATTCCCTCTGCTTCATCACACTGTGTTTTATGGATCTTTCTGTGTGGCTTCTTCAAGAATACAGTTTGGTTTTCTTTCTGTTTTTAAAGATTCTTCTATAACTCTATTTTGCTGCATTTCTGGCTTGATATATTCTCTACTGTGCTTTTTGTCAGAGTATTTGCTAATATTAATGTTTGTATGTGGTTTACTTGAACTCTGTATAGTCTGAAATTTTACTGAATTGCATAATTAGGGTAAGGACAGGGTAAGTTATTAATTTGAAGAGTTTTGCATGTCTGTAGCCAAGATAAGGCCCTTTTTACTGTCACTTAAATATATGTCTGTCCAAACACACTGCTTTTATGTGGTTTAAGGGGAACAAAGAGAGCTTGGGCGACACATGTCTTCTATTCTCTCAAACTGTGCACTGGTAACCAAATTGAGCCTCCACTCAGGGTTGCATTGAGATCACCTTCAAGATCCATTGAAACTGGCTCCCAGTCCATGATCTCTGACTGTAGTTAAAATGATTTGCTGGCAACTGGAGGCTGGCCTGTTTTCTTACTCATGTCTAAGGTGTGCTGCAGGGAGACCACCATCCAGTTTATCTACCAAGGAGATCTGGCAGGATCATAGCACCATTCAGTCCATTAAACTATGCAGACTAGTCCAGGTGAAAATCTCCAGACTTTCAGAATTCTAAAGCCTTTGAAATGAATGTCTTTAAGTCAAACTTTACATTTTACCTCATCATTTCACAATGTAACCGTTCCAGTGTCTCCTAAAATTAGAAAAGAAGAGGAACATTTATCCAGTATTTATTTCTCTTGGGATATCTGGTGATTTTATTATGTTCTACTTAAAGTATTTTTTGATATGGTTTAATATCTCCAGAGAGCGGTTCATATGATGAAAATCAGATTAATGCAATACTAGATGATTTTTTTGCACCTTCAGGTGAGCCTCCTGACAGCGATGCATTCATGTTTTTGCCATATGCTATATCTTGAGGAACTGCAACTTTGTGTCATCAACTTAATGATGATACCCAGTCACAAAAAATCCCCACATCCCAGTCATTGGGGAAAGGAATTTTCAACATTGTGCATTTAAATTATTGATTTTAAGAGCTATTGAAACCAATGTGCACATTTTGAAACTATAATAATTTTAGGAATCATTTTGTATATATTTTAACCATGACCTTTTATTTGTATCATTTGTCATTGCGAAATCCCTTGGATACCAGTATGTTTTCAATAACCCCATTGAGAGAAGTATGTCAATACTGTTTGAAATAGTGTCCACAAGGACAGTTTAGAGGAGATCAAGTCTAAAAATTATCAGTTTATTTCATATATATACATATATATATATATGTATGGTGACAAGATTACTGACCCTCTTTGTGTTTCCAAAAACAGCAGTCATGACTTGGAATGTGGGCGTACTATACTACTATTTCTTTATGGAAAAAATTGATGCATTTAATGACACAAGATGTACCTTTGTTCTATACAGTTTGTTCCCCTGAGACCTGAAAGTGTTTGGGTTCATAAAGGAGCCAAGAGTGTTCATGTACAGTATTGTGAAATGTGTTAGTGATTGTTCTTCACTGGAAGAGAATCAAGGGGATGTATCTATTAGTTATTAGATTAACTAATACAGTCTGAGACTGGGCTGTCCTTCAGTGTCCATCTGCCAGCTTCAGAGACATAAAGGCAGTAACTGCTCAGTCCAAGAGGTGTGAGACCTTAGAAAAGAGGGACCCCAGTCCAGTGTTGAAGTCCTAGAAGACCCCTGCGGAGTCACTATTGTAAGGTGTGTTCAGATCTTTAAAAGGTGTGTGATGGCAACAGGGAAAAGCGTGTCCATTCAAGAAGAGTCTGTCCTTCATTCACGAGAGAGCGTTATTCTCACTCCACATTCATTCAGCCCCTCATCTTATGGAACAGCTATCCATATCCAAGGCTTCTTTTTCACAGAAACATGTGCCAATCATGTCTCACAGACACACGCATGTGATTTACCAAGGCTTCTCTCAATACAGTGAAGTTGTCAGTCAATATTAATCAGGACAGGCCTTCCAACCAAAGTTTGAAATTCTTAGTAATTTGAAGCAAACACCCTATATATTCTGCCTAAATACTAAGAATTTCCATTAGACACTTGTTTTTAAAAAGCTTCATATTTATTATTCAAAACTAAAATGGACAATTTTACTTTTGTTACATTAGATAAAATACAAGTTTCATTGGACTGCATTATGAAGCTGTGTTTGATGAAAAGTACTTGTGGGAGTGCAGTAGAAGCTCATAAATTTAGGTCATTAAATGAAATACAAGATGAACTGGAGATCTGTACCCTTAATCTCTGGATATTATCCCAGTGATGAAGGCATTATCCTAAAAACCAGACACAATATAAAAATGTAGCAGAAGGCATGGGCCAGAGGATGTCATTTGACCCTTCCTGTGTTCACCCTTCTCAGAGAGGATTCCTTCTGTGTATAAAGCAAACCTGAACAAGAAACTAACACCAATGTGCCCAGGCTTTGGGGAATTCTGAGAAATAGGTACCATTAGATAAATTGCTTTCCCTAACATATTATTGAGTCTTCCATGGTGATATTCCATTCCATAAATGTGGTAATAAGCATATGTTGAATCTTTTCTGATACTGTTCCCCAAATTCCAAACTCATATCCGAGAGCACCAGAGAAGTATGGTCTCAAGACAAAATTCAGGCTTCACCACATTGTGAGCATCAATTGCCTGATTTTCTCAAGAGAGGAGGTGAAATGGTAAAGGCCATAGCTCAAATTCCAGACCTCAGTGCCTAAGTTCCATCCTGGCTTCATTTTCCTTGCCTGTGGTTATGGACAAGTGGCTTAACTTCTCTATGGCTCAGTTTTCTGTAAAATCAGGTGGTGTGACAAATCAATTAACTCATACATCACATAAACAGTGATTGTCACATGTAGAGGGTCATTGATCACATTTTGGTGTTATTGTTATCATTGCAAATGCTGTCTAATAACATGCAGCTTATAATTCCTTTGCTTTAATTTTTTCCACTTAAAATGTCAATATGTTCCCAGTGATTTCCCACTAACATATGCTAGCACTTCCACTGATGTGGTAAGGTGTATCCAAGTCTTAACTTATCATCCTTATCTATATATCCAAAATCTGCTATGCTAATCATGTTTGCAGTAACATGCTTGTATAGTATGTACAAGTCCAGGGACTAGGCCCTAACAACCCCAAAATATCTAGGTTTTCTCTTCCAACTAATTGTTTTACTCATCTTTCCATGCAAAATTTCCATGATTTTAGTAACATAATAAAGTCTCCCATGATTGTCATGGCCCCACGGATTTCTACAACTTTAAAATAATGCAAAACAGTAAATCCAGTTATTGGTGATCTGATGGCTTCTGACCTGAAAGCCTGTAACTGTAACTCCTATTGAAGCTCTAAGGTCAGAGTTAAGTGTCAGAAAAGATGTGATGAAAACAACCTTTTTAGAGCATGGCAACATAAATTTTGCAGTGTTCACTTGGGTCTGTATTGTGTCAGAAGAGAAAATCTCCACAAATGTGTCTAAGTTAATTGAATACTGTATGTACTGCATTACTGATATGCAATCATAATGTTGGATACTTTGAGATTGTCAAAATAATTGGATTTATTCAGTGAACTTTTTATATTGTTTGTGTGGCTTTCTCATAATATATATATATATACATATTTGTGTAAATACATGTGCATATGCACACATATGCCTGTCTGTCTACCTATCTGTCTGTCTGTCTGTCTATCTATCTATCTATCTATCACACACACATGTATATCTGTAAAATCAAAACACACTTAAACCATTTCCCTCATCCCTCTCCCTCTCTTCCCCCTATACTTCTGTTCCTCTCTCCTAATCTCACAGCCTCCTCTTATTTAATTGTTACTGTATACACATAAATGAATTAACATAAAATCACAGCCTGCTGAGTCCATCCAGAGTTGCCTTCAGATCACTTGACACCAGGTAACCAATCAAAAGGATCATCCGGAGGGAAGATGGACTATTCTGATCTCAGCAGTTGTTAATAACTTGTAGTTCTTCATTTAAGGTTGGGCCTGGTGAGGTTTCCCCCATTCAGGAGTGGGTGTCAACTGTTGGCAGAATTGTTCAGGTCTCATCAGGTAGCCGTCTTGTTCAGATTTAATCGGTGTAGGTTTCCTTCTAAGACACAATTACATGGCAGACTTCTTGGTCCTCTGGATTTTACAGTCGTTCTGCTTCAGCATCTTCTTTGATATTCCCTGAGCTGAAGTTGCATGCAGAGTTGTGTTGTTGATGCATTAATTGGAGATAATCACTCTACTGTATGTTGTTCTCTGCTGTTTGACAAGCTGTGGCTTTCTGAATGGTCTCCATCAGCCGCAAAAAGAAGTTTCTTTGATGAGGTGTAAGAGTTATACTTACTTAAGTATTACAATATGTATTTAGAATTCAGTGAGTGTGAGAGGGAGTGTTCCTCTAGATTTTAGTACCTCTAGTTCCTCTAGGGTCATGTAGTTTGCTGTGTCTACAGTTCAAGATGTAATTTTCCTCCCGTTACGTGGGCCAATTATACAGCTATTGCTTACTGCCAAGACAGGAGTACCGATAGTAAGGATGACTTAACTGTGCTGTTCATTGTTGTCGTTCATAGATGTCACAGCTAGGTAGGATATTTGATTGTTTTCATCCCTTCATGGCTTGCATATCACCTTCTGGTACTAGGAAAGCTAGTCCCCAGAGAGTAGGTTTCCAGGTCAGTTCCTAATCAGATATTCCCTCCCTCATTCTCATGGCCCGGTGAATTATATGATGTCATTAGCAATAGGGACTTACCTTCAATTTATGGGTGAATATAAAGTAATGGTTACCTCTGTCTTCTTCAAGCATCCTTAGTATTTTATGTTCCTCTTTCTCCCTCCTTTTCTATGTTGTCCTCCCTTCCTTCATTAAAGCCCTCCACATTACTCTTCTCTCGCTTCATGTCACCTATATCCTGCTGTCCCACTTCCCAGTCCCTTTGCATTTCCCTAGTTCCTGCAGCTACTCTAGGTTGTATACTCACATCCAAAAATTTGGAGCTGGGAACACAGATGAAAGACAACATGTGACTCAGTATTTGGAGTATGCCTGGAATGATATAATGTAAAAATCAAGTTATACACATTGTATGGGGATCCCAACTTTCAGAAACATACTAAATAGTTTGTTTTCTTTTCAATTTTAGGAGAATGTAAAACTATGAATGTGAATGGGACCCATTATGAGATGAAGTACCTGAAACCTTATACACCTTATAGAGTGTCACTCAACGCCTATGTCTTTGGGGAAGTGGAACGCCAAGGGCCTGCTGAATCATGCTCCTTTAGGACGAAAGCAGCTCGTAAGTTCTTTGCTTTAATATTTGTTCCACAAATGTCAAGGAACAACAAATGCAATTTTCATGTACAATGTGTTGATCTTTCTAATTTGGGAAATACATTGGCCTGGCATGTCTGTTAACATCTAAGGTTTAAAATTAATTAAAATTTAAAATCTTAGATTTAAAAAATATTTAAAGCCTGATAATCAAGGTTCAATGCATTCATCAAATATTGTCACAAGGTTGAAGGAACAAAGCTGGAAGCGTCATCAGCCAGTATGCTTCATAAGACTTCAAGCAGTTAAACCCCTCAGCAATTTAAATTAAAAATTCTCTCTTTACTATCTGGAAACACTATCTGTACCAAGATTCTTAATCATGTCCTACAGAGCACTGACTCATAGTTACGTGACAAAACATTTAATAATATACAGCTTTTTTAATGTCATGGAAATTTCAATGATCTTGCTTCCATTGTGATGTTCACATAGTTTGCAGAAACAATGCTAGATTAGTGTCCAAGGTAGTTACTAATCGTGAATAGGCAGGGAACAAGAAAGAGCCTGGGGATATAGTAGGATCTGTGACCATTTGACCTACATGAGCACCAGATTCCTGGAGAAAATAATATTGTCACTTTTAAAACATTTTCCACGTCACCTAGGCTCAAGTTTTAAATGTCCAAATCCTAAAATGCCAGTGTGGAAAGGAAAAGTGTGTACATAATCCCATCACTAGCTCAGGCACTGTTAGCATTTGATAACTACTAGAGAAGGAGAGTCAGTTTCCGTTAATGATGTGACGCTTGATAGACTGACCACACATTAGGACAGGCCCCAAGCCCAGGCACTATCTTGATGGGGCAAGAAGAAGAGTAAACTCAAAGCTGAATGGAAATGGGTGACAGGGAAGAGCAGATGGTGAGAGGAGGAGCCAGGGTGTGTATGCATGAGCAGGCTCAAATATATATTGTATAACATACTCAAAGAATTAATAAAGGCATTGAAAATTGTACAAGTCTTATAACCACATAATATTGTGCCTTCCCAGGTTTCTGGGATGTCAAAGCAAATGAAAATGGTTTGTTAATTCTAGAATCGCACCGGGTGTTGAGTAGGATACTCGTGAGAAGGAATGTCTGGGCTGTACAGCAGACCGTCCATGTTTCCCAAGCACCCTTCCTCGCCCCTCCTCCTTCTCACTTCTCACTGTTGTTCAGTTCCACATCCTGTTCTGCAGGGATGGCGCAAACTCTCGGGACTTCCAGCATGTCTTATACGTTAACACTTAATGAAGAGGTGATTTATTTTCAGATGTTTTAATATAGATCCTGCATCTGTGTTCTCATGTGCAGACCAACATTTAAAATGGTTTACATTGTACTCATGTTTCAAGTTATTTACATTTTCACATATCAAATGATTAAGATGACAAACATTTTATTTTGACAGCACCAAGCATAGTCAATGGAATGAAAGTCGTCAGGAAGTCAGAAAATTTTATAATTGTCACATGCGATCTTCCTAGTGAAACTAATGGCCCTGGAAAATTTTACATTTTGAAAGTCAAAAGTGGAGATTCCTTATTTAAGGATTTCAACAGCACTACGTGCAAATTTGATGTAGCAAATCTCTACTATTCAACTGACTATACATTTCTGGTAAGGTTACACTTTCCATAATCATTACTTTCCCAAGCTATATTAACAGTTTTGAATACTTAGTACTTGCATAGCATTAAGGTCAATGTTTATATGGGCTCAGAGATCTCTGGTAACTTGTGAAATCAACACTTTAGAACATTCAACAGTTTGGTGCCAATTTTATCTCTGGAATGAAAAGCAATGTTTTGAGGCAAAATTTTGCTAGAATATTTACAATTTCAAAATGATGACTGTTGGGAAGTTATTGCTCATGTGTCTGGTAGATGAAAATCCAAGAGTAGCAGATCTTTATTTTGCCAAATGTTTATTTTTACTGTTTTCAACTACAAACTTTTATGCGTACTTTGAATTTAGAAAATTCTAGAAACAAATTCAAGAAAAATCAAAACATAAAGTGAATGTAAAAAGCTTAAAATACCTATGATTTCACTGTGGATCATGTATTATAAAGATATTTCTGATGTTTAAATGAAAATGTATAGACATTAGATGAAATTACCATTTCTAACACAGTTCAGCAATTATTTCTGTCATTTCAGCATGCTCACCTTTCCACTTTTTTATTATTTAACTTCCAATAGTTAGATGGGGTTTTGTCATATGGTCTTGCCATTGTCTTCTAACAATAACTGTACTGTGCTCTGATATACACAGCATTCAGTAAACATGTTTATTGATAATAATAACTTCTTTTAATGCCTTTAATCATTACTACTCAATATATGAAAAGGTCAACTTAGGGAAGGAAAATCTTCCTCTGGATTCTAGTTTGAGAGAAGGCATTGTTTCAGCAGCTTGATAGAACTGGTTACAATGAATCCGTATTCAGATAGCAATAGAGATGGATGTTGGTGCTCATCTCACTATCTTTTAATTATTCCATTTGGGACCCTAGACCTGGCAGGGTTGTTTTCCCCCATGCAGTTAACCCTACTCCTTCATATACATGACTAGAAATGTATTTCTGAGGCTATTATAGATCTGTCAAATTAACAATCAATACTAACCATCATATGTCTACTTGTCAACTTGACATCCAAGCATACAGATTTTAATCTATAATCTTCCACCTTTGGTGCACCCCTCATCTTCCCCTTTAAACTTGCTTTCTCCATAAAAGTTCACATCTTTGTGTTTTCCTTCCTTCTTCCTGGAGATCTGAATGAGAGCAGTAAGCAGGAGCCATGCTACAGCCTGGACACTGTAATATCATGAGATTTCCTCCACCAAAGAGATTAAAACAATTCTTTTTACTTCACTATTACTCTTTTTCCTCAGTCATGGACAGAATCTAGCCAAATTCTTTGCCAAAAATGTATCATGTAGCTGCTGCATTCAACCCTGGTTCACTCCAACCCTGGTAACACCATGAGCTGGGCACTTACTATTCATCATTCTCTTGGCATTCTGGTCTTCAGATTCTGACCAAAATTATTTATTATGTTCCACTTAAAGCATTCTAAGCCTCCTTTAGAATGAATCTCCAAACTCTCCCACTTTTGCACAAAGAAGTTTCAAAGGAATGAGGATCATGTACTTGGGTGCATCACAGCAATGATCATTCCTTGAAGGAGATTTTCTTCATAATTTTACTTTACTTATGAAGGCACATAATTATGAAGGCATATGAATGTGGTTAATACATACTATAGTGCACATACATGTAAGTTAGAGGAAATCTCTGTGAAGTCAAGTCTCTCCTTCTACCATGGATTCAAGGAATTGTATTCAGATTTCTAGGCTTGTGTAGCAAGCACTTTTATCTGTTGAGCCATCTCTTTGACCCCTACTTTTCTATATTAACTACTTGTCTTGTTGTTATAAAAATCACCTGACAAATTGACTTAAGGAAGAACTTATTTTTCTCACAATTGGAGGGGATACAGTTTACTTTGATGGGGAAGGGATGATGGCAGGACCATGAGGCAGCTGGCCACATTTTATCCACAGCTGCAAACCAACACAGTAGTGTTAAGCCCACTTTCTCCTTATTATTTAGTCTCATTATTTTTAAATGTAAAATGGGACAGTGCTACCCACATTTAGGGTGGGTCTTACTCCTCAACTAGCTCCATATTGAAACTCCTTCATAGATATGTTCTGAGGTATTTTTAATAGGTTTTTTAGATCTTGTCAATTTGACAATGAACATTAACCATCACAGCCTGATAGTGATAGTTTACTTCATTAGCTTCTTGTCACTTCAAGCTTTTTGTATAACAAACTTTTTGGATTATACTTTTAAAGAAGAAAAGTATTTGTCATACTTCTCTAGAGTAACAAAACAGAGTGAATGCGTATGGTATTTATTATAGTAGTTTACAGGTTGTGGTCCAGCTATTCCAACAATGGCTGTTTACCAATGGAAAGTCCAAGAATTTAGGAGTTGTTCAGTCCATGAGGCTGGATGTCTCAGCTGGACTTTAGTAAATTCCAGAATCTCAGTCTAATGTCAGTGATAGAATGAATTGACAGCAAGAGGAAGAGTAAGCAGACAAAGAGAAATTGCTTCCTTCTTTTGTGTCCTTTATGTAAGTTTCCACAAAAAGGTGTGGTCCACATTTCAGGTGGATCTTACCACCTCAAAAAATCTGGATTTAAGGTGGGTCTTTCTACTTCAAATACATAAATCAAGAAAAAAACTTTCACAATTTTACCTAGCTCCTTGGGTTTTAGGTAATTCCAGATGTAGTCAAATTGACAACCAATAATAGTAATTACTAGTAGTTTGGAATCCATTAAAAATAGATATGGTGCTATTTTAAATGGTGCTACAGTGGTAATTAAATAGTCTGACTTGCTCATGGTGGTGAATTACAGTAATGGGTTTCCTAATGCAAAACACTCTTCATACTCCAAGGGACAAATTATCTCTTACCTTTCATAGTGTGTTATTGTTTCATTGAATTATTGAATAGTTCAGTATTTTATTGATTCCATGAGTAGATATTCACAAAGGAAATTATTCAACAAATATATACAGATAGGTTTGACATCTGTGTGGTATGTATAACTTTTGTTGCATTTTGAATAGATTACACTCTTTTTCAGTGTGGGTATCTTTAAATAGCATAGGGATGGTTTGTATCTTAGAAATCCCTTTGATCCATTTACTGTAGAGGTACAGTTATTTTTTCAAGTGAGTGTGCCATTTACATCTTCCTGAAGGGTGTTCCACACAGAGAAACATTTGTTGTTACTAAAGCATCCTGCATTCTGTTTCACTGTGTTCAGCTTCCTCAAGAGCCACAAAGCTCTTGGTACAGTGTTCCATTTAATCTCATACACACATTCAGCTTTTATCTAGTTGATGACTTTATTTCATGACTTGCTTTTCTTCCTAGGATTCTCTTTGTCTACCCTTCAAACATTAGAAATTATTCTGGGATATATGGGTGAATATTATAAACATAAAATTCGAATTAGGAGATAATCTTCACTTAGCTATTCCTTCTCCCACTATATAAGTAGATCTCTTGTTTTCTTCATTTCACTTATCATGACTTATTTCCCCATGCATTTATGACCCAAGACAACATACACACTTTTATGAGCATGCAATCATCTCATGTTTATTCAGTATTACCAACTCTACTAAAATATTTATATTTGTTTTATTTATAATAATTTATTTCTAGTGACTTGTTATTGTGTTTTTCTCATTGTATATTTGCCTCTTATGAAAAATAATTATGATCATTATTATTGTGGTTTGGAAAAATTTGTATCCTGTTCCTACATGACTTGTCAGTTATATTGCCAGCCTGCACATAGAGAGGAATGAATTCTTAAAGTATGTTGTTCATTCTGATAATTATTACCTTGATGACTTCTAAAGAATCTATAGTGGATACTTGGAGGAGTTTATAATGTAATATATTTCCATCTGTGGAGTTTAAAATTTTAATATTGTGAATTTTATTGCTTTATAAGAGGTAATTGATACAATTTTGTTTATGAATATTGAGAAATCCTATACTCACTTGTATAGAGAGTGAAAGCTTCTGTTCATGTTTGTCAGGGTTATTATACCATATTAATCCCTTATAGAGATCTATTTTACATCATTTATGTGATATCAATAGTCCTTTCATATCAAGCTTGTTTTCTTTACTTGTATTAAATTTTATGAGCTCTAGGAGTTTATGATAATTATTTCCACACTGTAATTTGTTCATGTCTTTTACACTCATAATATGTACATTCTATACCCAACTCTTGTAAATAGCAGATTTACTTTAAAAATAAAATGTGAACCTACTAGCATATTAATAGACAACTATTTTTGCCTATTTACCATACCAAAAAATTATTAACTCTGTATTTTATTTCTTGAACTGTGTTCTTCCATTTCCATTTGCTATTGATGTCATTCCTAAGATATGAAAGCCCCTTTTCTATCTTTTTGGCTGGATACAACAAAATAATCTTAGTGTCAGCTTTGACTCAGAAGTTTTTAATGAAAAGAAGCAGATTTCATGAGAAATAATTTACATTTTATAACATGCCATACACAGTTATAGTAGAAAACTAAATTTTTTCTTTTTCTTTTCTTTTTTAACTGAAATTTAGCTCTCTTTTCACAATGGAGTGTATCAGGGAGAGGCAGTTGCTCAATATCAATCAACATCTTGTAAGTGATCCTGCCCTATTTTTTTTTACCTCTATGTGTATAGTTTTGCTTGAGCAAAAGCTGTTCTATTTTGCATTCATCATTTGACTCTTTAGCTGCTTGTGCACATTTTATAAATGCCTGCAACTTTCAAAAAACCTCTGAGTAAACACAGATTAAAATACAGTACCATAAAAATAAAATTAATAGATTTGATCACTTAGTCACTAAGTGGATATTGCATTCATTACAAATTTTAAGAGTATTTATTTGTACAGACAGGTATTTTTGGTAGCGCCTTTAAATGTGACTGTTGTGTTTGACTTATATATGTGCTACAGATGTGTATACTGATTATGCTTTGATTTCTAAGATATCATATACATCTGGAGCATCATTATAGACAATAAAGCACACACACACACACACACACACACACATACGGCTTGGGGGTTATGAACAGCTACCTTTCTCTGTGTTCTACACAGTCTACCATTTGCCGGAATCATATTATTTAGCCTCTTTTCAGGAATTAAGGAACTGAGGTGCAAAGGTAGTAGGATTCTCTTTCAGGAAGTAAGAACTAAGGTTGGAAGCTCAACATCCTGGCTCTGGGGCTCCAACTTTGATGCCACTTCATGTGTTTATTGCATTTCCATTGTGAGCAGGAAATGGATGGCACATAACCCTGGATACCTGCTTTGCTCTGCTTTCCCTATGCTTGTGATTTACATTGATTCTCAGTGAAAACTCAAGCTAGGGAAAGTGTTAATCCTCACTGTCAAATGAAATAAATTTTGTCTCTTGGTTAATTGGTTTTATCCCCCAGTGAGCATGTAAGAGATTTATCTTTGTGGGGTAGAAGTTTTTATGAATCCCCTAGGAGGCTACCCATTTCTGTGCTCAATGGTAAACTATGAGTTTCTTTCTGAAAGCTGTAATAACTGTATTACCTCATTGATCCCTTTAAAATGACTCTCTGAAAGGGAATTAAATCTAAATGATAGTTTTCTACAAAAGTACAGTATTTAATGAAAAGAAATGGAAGAGCTCATCTATATTCTAATTAGCCTCTTTAAATATAAATGCCTGGGGAATTTTGAAATAACAGAGCCCATTATTGCAAAATCAAGATTTTAATGTATTTCATCTTATTCTAAAATTTTTGCTTTGAATTTTCACCATAAATGAAAAATTACTAAAATTCTAGTTCATGAAAGTCACTCACATTGTCTACCAAAGTATATGACATAATAACCTCTTGTAATTTCTAGATAATGCTAAGGCACTGATTATATTCCTGGTGTTTCTGATTATTGTGACATCAATAGCCCTGCTTGTTGTTCTGTATAAAATCTATGACCTGCGTAAGAAAAGATCCAGGTAAGAGACAATTAATTTTGAATTAGGAGCCAATATTAGTTATAATAATGTCAAGAGATGTTCAAAATGCATTAACTGAGCAATGGACTAGAGACGATGGTATAAACTTCAATTCATGACTGAATTGGGTGTTAGAGACTTAACATGGAATTATTGGCTTACTGTAAGAACTTTCTCTGACTTTGCTAATGGTATTGTAGGCTTGTTTTGATAATGATCAGAGCAAAGAATATGCACCTTATCTTTTAATCCACAGTAGATGATAGTAATCTGGGGACAGCAAATTCAAAAGGAGGGAAGTTCTGGGAAGTGTGTTTATTTCTTTGCCCAAGGAAATAAATATTTATGAAAATTGGGAGAATTCCCTTAACTCTTTCTCACTCTTCTGAAATTTACAGGCAACTTTTGATTGATTTCTTTGCTGCTTTGGCTTCTTCACTCTCCCCAAGTTCCTGTTTTACCTCCCTCACTTTCTATCTTCTCATTCTCTCTCCTCTCATATTGCCCTCTATCCCTTCTTCTGTTAACCTTACCTCTATTTCCCCCTTCATTCAGTAAATTTATAAAACAGTGATTGCTCAGTTAAGTTGAAGGCCAACTGAATTCCATGTTCTATACAAATACAAAAACTCATCTTTCTTATTTTCACAGCAATTTAGATGAACAACAGGAACTTGTCGAAAGGGGTGAGTATAAATTTTTACTGATGAATATTATTCCTCTGAATTTGCATTCTCTTATTGCAAAATAAGGGATGTTCATTTTTAATTAAATCTGGACTTTGTCTATTGACACATGATGAAACAAATTTATGTTTTTCCAAAAGTAGTCATCTATGTGAAGTTTTCAAGGTATCACAAATATTGTCTATGGAACTGAGAGTACTATAGTGACAGGTCATGATCTCTGTCCTTCAAGGTTTGGGAATAAAATAGAGGAATCCAAGTGTATTGATGAGTAAGAACAATTTGGTAAATGTTATAGCTATTTAATGTGCATAGTTGTGTATATAGAAAAATGGTAGACAGTTGCCTTTTGAGGGTGCAGTAATTTGGTTGGCTAAGAGTGCTGGGAAACATCAGACCAGCTAGTGAGTAAGGAATAATGGGAGAACAGATGGTATTCCATAGCGATGAGTTGATATGAAGAGAAAGTAGACATTGTATAAAGAATAGACATCCCTTATTTCAACTTTTAAAGGATTTCTTAATGTCTTAAAGACAGAATCAATAAAAGTCAATCATTAAAGATATTTAAACTATGTTTATGATAATTAAGGTAGCTTGTTTTTCCATTACATAAGACACAGCACGTCTCTATCTTTTGTTACCTCCTGTGTGAAGGATTTCCTTCTGACAACTGGAGGTACCAAGTTCATGTGCATCCTCTTTTGGGCTGGTTCTTCAGAGATCCTTAGTTTTAGTCTCTTTTAGAGACTGCCTCACAACTTGACACTCGTATTTGTCTGCATCTTTGTTGGTTAGCCTACCATAAGTAGGTTGCAGACTTTGAGAAAGTGGAAGGTTCCTCTTTTTTTCAGTGGTTTCTCCCCAGTGCCAGGATGAGTATATAGAATCCAGTGTGCCGGGCGTTGGTGGTGCACACCTTTAATCCCAGCACTCAGGAGGCAGAGGCAGGCAGATCTCTATGAGTTCGAGGCCAGCCTGGTCTACAGAGTGAGTTCCAGGACAGTCTCCATAACAATACAGAGAAACTCTGTCTTGAAATTTCAAAAAAAAAAGAGCAAAAAGAATTCAGTGCATGTCAGTGACTAGAAAAAAGTCAACAAAGTAGCATTTACAGAGTGTTGGTTCTGTTAGGCTGTAAGGAGAAGGAGGGACAAAAGAGTGATCATACCTGGGCAGAGGGTAAAGTACACTTCCTGGGATTAAGGTGGATTGGAAGCATCAGATGTTTTGTCTTGTAATTAGTATCAGTTGCTACTGGAAAGAGTTTAGAACTTATTCTAAATAAACCTCTAGGTTTAGCATGAGCATGGATGAGTTCTATGTATTTCCCATCACCCAAAGGAACTATGTACTGCATCTAGCCAAAGTTGTAATTTTGTTTGGAAACAAAGAACTGTAAACAGTAAGATAATGATGCCACAGTCCTGGACAGCTTCTTTCTTCATTTGACAATGAGGACAGTTACCATGGCACCTGGGCACCTGGAGAAAGAACAAGAAACAGGAGTTGGGAGAGTAAGAGAAACATTGGCAAATGTGATGGCACAAAGTTTCTTTTTCTTTTCTTTTATTATTATTACTATTATGTTTTTCAAGACAGAGTTTCTCTGTGTAGCCCTGGAGATCCTGAATTTCATTCACTTTTGTAGACTATGCCGACCTTGTACTCACAGAGATCCGCCTGCCTCTGCCCACCAAGTGCTGGGATTAAAGGTGTGTGCCACCACTGCCAGGCTAGCACAAAGATTCTTAACCTTTTAAAACCATGGTTTGTGTGGCTGGAGAGATGACTCAGAGATGAAGAGCATTGACTGCTCTTGAAGAGAATCTGGGTTAGTTGTCAGCATCCTTTTGACTGCTCACAACTGCCCTAACTCCCTAGCAGAGCAGCTATCCCCTTCTGAACTGTGTGGGAACTGCATGGTTGTGTGCACATACATGAATGTGGACAAACCATACATATAAAATATTATCAAATAACAAATGTATCTTGTAAAAAAACTATGTTTTGTCAAGATCCACATGAAAGTTTTCATAATAGAAAGAAATGGTACTGCTCAACACCCATCCACATTCTTTATTTTTTAGTCACAGAAAGTTGTTTCAAAATGTATTTAATTTTTTAAAATATTTTATGTACAACAGATGAATGCAGTGTGTTTGACAGTAGAGTGTAACCAAATTAAGATGAATGGTAGAGCCGGGCGTTGGTGTTGCACGCCTTTAATCCCAGCACTCGGGAGGCAGAGGCAGGCGGATCTCTGTGAGTTCGAGGCCAGGCTGGACCGACAGCCTCCAAAACAGAGAAACCCTGTCTCGTAAAACCAAAAAAAAGATGAATGGTAGATAAAATAGTATTAATCATTTTCTCTTATTATCTGTACAATTATAATATTTCACAAAAATTAAAATTTGCATGTGTGAGGTTGCTGATGAGAAAAATAATAATCATGGCATATAGAAATATGTCAGCTACTATAAATTCCATGATATCAAGCAAAAACATGGATGTCTGGCAATGGTGATGTTTTGTCAGGGACCCTTTATCTAGCCATAGGGAGGGAGAAGGTCATTCTAGTAAAGAGAATAGTGCAGAGTCAGAAAATGACTGCAGTACAAGATTTACAAGTCCTTAATGTATAGGCAAACACTTTCATGTGAATTAAATTCTCTACAAATATAAATTGTTGAGAATTAAGTTCAAGATATGTATTGACATATGCATATCCGACAGACAGGCAGACAGACAGACAGACAGGCAGATACACAACATTGATCTTGAATCTCACTTGTTTACAGATGATGAAAAGCAACTTATGGATGTGGAGCCAATTCATGCTGACATTTTGTTGGAAACATATAAAAGGAAGATTGCTGACGAGGGTAGACTTTTTCTGGCTGAGTTTCAGGTATGTGTCATCATTGATATAGGGTAAGAAACTCCACATGGCCATCAAGAGGATTCCATGTTAAGTATATTTGCAAAACCATTTGCCAAATAATCTGCACACCGAACACAGCAAATAATACAGGCATATGTTCCTGCCATATTTAGAGATGAGAGACTCAGTGAGGGTGCAAGGCCATTCATAGTACGAAGCTGGTAAACATCATAGTATAATGCTTTAGTGCATTGTAACTGATTATGAAGCCCTCTCACAAAACATATTTGGCTCATTTTGTACTTGTTCTAGGTGACTATCTAATGATCAGTAATGAACTGAAGTTCTGAATGCCACATTGATTATTTTATGTTTTTCATGTAACTGTTTTGAAATTACTTTTAATTCAATGGTTCTGTTATTAATTTTTAAAGGAAATAGGTAGTTTTTGAAAATGCATAATAAAGTTAATTACACCTACTTTATCTACCATGTTTGTCAGTAGAAAGCACATAGTCATAAGTTACCACCTCATTCATCCCCAATGGCAACTGGTAAAGGAAAAACTAACTTCCTTCCTTCCTTCCTTCCTCTTCCTCCTGCTCCTCTTTCTCCTCCTATTTCTCCTGCTCCTTTTGAACTCTTCTGTAACTCCAAGAATTTTTGTTTCTTCCAGAGCATTCCACGAGTATTCAGCAAGTTTTCTATCAAAGATGCCCGAAAGCCCCACAACCAGAATAAAAACCGTTATGTTGACATCCTTCCCTGTGAGTTCACATAGGGAACTGAGTTTCTGTATGTTGTCAATGCATGAATACTCGATATTTCAATACTAAAGTTTTCTTTACTTTAAACAGATGATTACAACCGTGTTGAACTCTCTGAAATAAATGGAGATGCAGGGTCCACCTACATAAATGCCAGCTACATTGATGTGAGTACATACACTGTGTTACCTTATAGCCAATTTTGGTTGTGAGAAATGTTCATTTTCTTTGTATTTATGTCTTCCATTTAGTTCCTCCACTGTTTTTGCAAAAATTTAGAGAAGCTATTAGAAATATTTTAAGTTAAGCCCGTAACATCACTGACAGCAGCAACAAAATCATTAATGTTTACAAAAATAGTTACATGTATACTTGCTGGTACTAGGTGTAAAATAGGGCTTTATTCTTAGTGGAAATAAAAGTCTACTCTTTGCTGTGCATTAAACAGAATTATATCTGCATGCATTTCTCATAAGGACTCTGCATTTCTTCAGTTATGCACACTATGCCTATTATATACATGAGAAATGGGAGGTTCAGGTTCTTTAGTTACTATTAAACTAAAGAAATCTGTAAAGGTTTTAACTGAGATGCAATTCAGGTCTGTTGATCCCTAACTGTTGTGTTTCTGTAATACAGGGCACTGCAGTAGATGCTGCTCATCTCTCCTATGTAAATATATAGAAAACAATTATGAAACCATTTAAATGTACTTGCTATGAGTTAAAGAATTTTACACAGTAGAAAAGCACACATCGCTGAAAATATTTCCTTACCCGATCTACAAAGCATTTCCTTGTATCAGGAAAGTCTTCATGTTTACATAGAGTTTCTTAATAGAAAAGTAAAACTCCAATATTCACTAAGGTTTTCATTATAAATATTATATTCATACTGTTATTTACCCTGTATTATTTTCCTAACATGCATAGATAAGCATACCCAATGTAGAAGTGCATTTCTTTATGAACATATATGCATATATATTATAAATATAGAATACATAACTATGTGTAGTATAGACACAGAATACACAACTATCTAAAATATTTACATACATGTAGATCTTTCTCTGTTTACATGAAACAAATATAATAGCACTAAAGAGGGAAGGATTAGCAGACTTTCTCTAAGGGCCATGAGAGCACTTTCTCTTGATTTTAGAGATCATGCTTAATCTTTGTCACAGATACTCAACTCTTCCAGTGATAGTACAAAACATAGCTCAGTAACAGAAGCACTTTAGGTATGAAGTCAAATCTTTCTGGACTTGCTCACGAGCCTGTATGTACCTTTCTTGTGCCTGTTACAAAAAACAGTTAAGGAAGGGAAGGTTTATTTTGGCTCATGCTTTGAGGTACACTGTATCATGATGGCTGAAGGAATATGAGTTCTGACCTCATGGCATCTGCAGTCAGGAAGCAGAGAAACACAAATGCTAGAATGCCATTCATGTTCTCTTTTTCATTCAGGGTAGGACCTGTCAGGAGAATAGTGTTACCTATAATAAGCATGATTTTCCTACCCTATTTAAGCCTCTATGCATACTCCCCCACCGTCATGTACAGTTTGTCTCCTAGGTGATCTTCAATCATGTCAAGTTGACACTCAAGATTAAACATCAGGGTGCAGGGAAAAGGGAGCTGGAGAGCTGATGCCCTCTTGAGGCCTCTGTAGGCACTAGCATACTGAGGCACATGCACAATTAAAATACATCAAAAACAACAAAGATTAAACATCATAAGCCTTAATTTGCTAACTCCAGACCCAGACAGTTTTTGGACCTTTTTGTTTTATGTTAATTTATGGCATAAATTAATGAACATTAAATATTCTTTATAAACTTCTACTACTAAAAGAAGAGATGTGGTGTGCTTGGTTCATATTATTACAATGTGATTTTTAATATATCTATAGAATAGGTTTCTAAAAGAGGAATTCCAGGTCCAGGCAACCTATATAATTATAATTTAAGATCAGTGTTTATCATGGTGTATGAATGATCTTTGGGAGCCCATTCCAAATAGAGGGATGCTCTCTCTGCCTGGACACATGGGGAAGGGCCTAGGTCCTTCCTTGGATGAAATGACAGACTTTGAAGATCCCCCCAAGGAGGGCCTCACCCTCCCTGGGGAATGATGTGGGGATTGGGTGGGGGGCTGGGAGGGAGGGTGGAGGGACAAGAGAGGAGGGGTGGGAGAAGGAACTGGGATTGACATGTGAAGCATTCATGTTTCTAATTTAAATAAAAACATATATTGAGAAAAATTTTCACATGGCAGTTGCTCTAACTTATAATCCATTCCTATAAGTTCTTAACAAAGTATATGGTATGCTATGCTATATGCTGATTCTCAAGTTTTTGAAAGGGTGAGCAGTTGAAATTGAGGCCCTTTGGTTATCATCATTTATCTTTTACTTACATGAATGTGTAACATTTTATTGAGGTAGAAAGTCAAATTTCACCTTATCATGAGATATGTATTAGTTTACAGGCATTAGTTTCTGAGATCCAGCATAATAAAATGTCACAAATTAGTACCAGGAAAATAATATGAATCTATTCTCTGTGTTCTTGAACCTAAAATTTTCAAGCCAAGTTATCAGTAGAACCATGCTCACTCAAGCTGTCTGGGAGAAAAAAATCCTCAATGGCCACCTTTTGGCTTCTGGGGACTTGTATCTATACTTACTTTTCCCGGTTAATGGCTGCCTCTCTCCAGTTTCTGCCTCCACATCATGTCTTCTTGCCTGTATTTTCAGCTCCTGTATTTTCACATCCAGCCCATTTCACTTACACGAGCACTGATCATTGCACTTAAGACACATTTTAACTCTCAGATCCACAAAGACACTACTTTCATCTACAGGTATATTCTGGGGGGGGTAAATACAAGATTTGAAAACAATAATTCAATCAGCTACACACAATCTATGTAAAAGCATAAACCAATTTAGATAGATTTTTTCCAGTTGAGTCACTCATGAAACATACACCTTTGACATCTGTGTTTTAATCATTGATAAGTTACTTTTTGAGATGTTATGTGGTTTTCCAGAGCTAAATTATTCACATAAATCATTATGGCTATTTTGTAACATACTGTAATTTTCTAGATGCATTTGCTGTTTTTCAATCATCATTTTTAATTATTGCCATATATTAATTAAATAACTTTCATAATTCATTGCCAACTAGTCTTAGCTTTGTTAGGAGAATCAAACTGGGGTTGCATACCCAAGTGGTCTCTGAAGATACCACCAAAAACTTGTCTTTCATCATATATTTTTGATACCTAACACTTTTTATATTCCTATTTCAAAACATGCCCTAGAATGTCACTGAGCTGACAAGTTTTTCCTGAATGTGTGCATGATCCCCATAGTATAAACTCCTTTTTTCTGCTTTAAGTGTTCTCTGCAAAGCTTGTTTCCATGAGCAAGCAATACTTTCAGATGTGAAGAGTCCTCCCCCAAAATAACGTAGTCATTGGTCATAACTTTCACCTTCATTTTAACTGAGATTTGGCAAGTGACCTTTGCAGGCCACAACAATTATGGTGATCAAGTGTTGTTTTAGAGTACACAAGTGTATTTTCCAAATGTCTTGCCCTTCAAAGGAATGTAACTAAGAGATTTTTTAAGAATTTAGGTAGACTCTAAAAATAAATAGCTTATGTATTCTGCTTAAATATGTATGCTAACGGTGGGATCTAGTTATAATTATGTTTCTCCAACTGAGCTTCATCCCCCTAGAAAGCAGATCTTGTCAGCTGCTAGGTGAGTTCTTGACATACTGTAGTTGCTTAGCATGTACTTTATGAATAGATGCATATGACTGATACTATCACTGGAGTTAGTAAAATTAAGTGGGGATTAATACATCTGATAAGCAAAGTTTCAAGCAATGGCATCACTACCTCTTCCTATGGCACTTCCCCTTTTCTAAGGTAAATTTGAAGTGTTTGAGAGTGTTTTCCAAGGAATTAGTGTATCTTATCTGGGTCTGTAAGGCTCCCTTGTCAGTGGAGCAGAGAAAGCAGTCATTACAGATAATGAATGTTTTTATTTTCCATATCCAGAATGGCATAAAAGGACTCTAGGGAATCCAAAGTATGTTCCAGCAATAGTTAATATGTGGAAGTGTAGGTGTGTTCCCAGAGGGATTTATTGCAAGAAAATGAGTTGAGTTGAAACTCTGTAAAAGTGCTCCATGGCTGGTAAAAAGGTTTAAATAGCAGAAGGTAACTGTAGGGCAAGCAGTTTATAAACAAGGAAAGTCTGGGATTCATCTTGCTAATTGCTGCACCATCCCAGATGAGATGAAGTCTAATTATAAAAGTTGTTTGGAGTACATAGAAAAAATATATGTAGGTCAAAAATACTGTTTGCAAATGGTAACTAACCTGTTCAACACCATTAAATGCCTTATTGTACATTAATACCCTCCTACAATGATCTGAAAATGGCCAGACGTGTTTACAACCATGATAGAGCTATATCAACTTCTTCTAATTTATAATTTTGCATGTTAAATAAACAAGTGTTCTATAAATGGCTCTTCTCTTTGTGTGTTTTAATCAGGGCTTCAAAGAACCAAGGAAATATATTGCTGCACAAGGTAATTTATTTCAAATACTGTAGTTGCTCCTGGAAACTTGTTTTTATAGAATTTCTGAGGAAGTATTTCTAAACTTGTACTTAATTACTAGGACCCCGGGATGAAACTGTTGATGACTTCTGGAGGATGATCTGGGAACAAAAAGCCACAGTTATTGTCATGGTCACACGATGTGAAGAAGGAAACAGGGTAGGAGCCCAGAAGGTTGAGGTTGGAACTTAGGAAATTATGAGCTACTTCTGGTATGAGTAATAAAGACAATGCTCTCTTTTAATCCTGCTAATATTTTATTTACATTTCCCTGCAGGCAGGAAACCTAAATCTGTATGCAAAGTGTGTGTGTGTGTGTGTGTGTGTGTGTGTGTGTGTGTGTGTGTGTGTAAAACAGTCAAGTGAAGATATTGAGGCTTTTATTTGACATTGTGGTAAGTTCTGAATATTGTAGCATGCCACCTTCACAAACTATTTGTTAATGGCCACAGCAAAACTGACAAGCCTTGGGTAAGCAGTGGACAAATACATGATTCAGTGTCAAGAGAAGTAAAAGCCTCTGGTTTCCTGAGCCAGAAAGTGACCACCTGTAAACGCTCTACTTTTGCTCATCATTTTTTGTGGTCTTCTTGTAATAGGTGGTGAGGACTGGGCAGATTGCCCTTCTGCTGACTGGTTAAGATAAACCGATCCAGAAATATTAGTGGGAAATAGAACATGTTTCAGCTTAAGGTGCACATAGTATTAAAAACATGCGACATTTGGAGGAATATCAGTCGAATAGACTAGTGGTTGCTGGCATTTTAGGAGCAAGCAGAAACTGTTTTATGATACAATGGAATCACGAATGATTTTTTTTCAAACTGTAGAACAAGTGTGCAGAATACTGGCCAAGCATGGAGGAAGGCACCCGGGCTTTCAGAGATGTTGTTGTAAGGATCAACGAACACAAAAGATGTCCTGATTACATCATTCAGAAGCTGAACATCACACATGTGAGTTTGCTTCATTCCATACCTTTTGGCTTGGTATGGCTCTTTATAAAAGTGCACCTAAGGAATATTAAATGTGGAGAACTAAAACACATCTGGGAAAGATCACTTTTAATGATCTTTAGGAGAAAGAGCCAGGTTGAAGCAACCATGAAAGCTGACCAGATAAAATTTAAATTGCTGATTGATGCATTGTCTACACCAGTCACAGAGTCTGTTACACTGAACCTCTGAAGTAGCAAGAGGAAGGGCCACAAGATGTGCTGAGTCAGTGACAAGGTTATTAAGCGGAAAACCAAACAGTCCTGCCTGTCAGTAGCCTGTCTGCATCATAGAAGGCATATTTTAAAAATGGCACATCACATGAGCATATTAAGAAGCAGCAAGGCAGCAAGTTATAATTATACAGCTGAGAGAGAGAGAGAGAGAGAGAGAGAGAGAGAGAGAGAGAGAGAGAGAGAGAGAGAGAATTCAACTCAGCAAAGAATGAGGTCAATGTGGCCTTGGAAAGAGTTTAAATAGAGGTCATATCTTATTGCATACTTCCATTTCCAGGAAAATTCCAGATAGAGGAGTCTATAAATGCAGAAAATAGATTAGAAGTTGCCTTAGGCTGAGGGTGTCAAACGGGGAGTCAGATGGGTTCAGGCTTTCATTTTACAGTGAATGTAACAACACACTTTAAACATGTAGACTCTGATTTACCAAGTATATCTTAATAGTGCAATTTAGACTTGAATACCTTATTTGAGTTCCACTTTTCTTTGAATTCTATTTGTTGGAGGCTTTTTGTTTCTTTGTTTTGTTTTGATAATCTGAACTTTATTCCGCCAAAGCACAGATACATTTTCTTCAGGAAAACAAAAACCAAACAATCAGGTTTGCTAGGTATTTCTCCTACAGCCTCCTTTGCTGGGATTGTGTCACTCCCTGCTCTGCTTTTGCTCTTGGGGATTAGCAATCATACACACACACACACACACACACACACACACACACACACACACACACACGAGCTGTTTAGGGGCCAATGCCTAGCTTGTCACAGTGATTATTCTGAGGTATCTATCTCAGTGGATTTATATAGTTTCTATTGGAAACTTACAAGCAAGATATTATTTTATTGTTTATCTTTTGAAAGTAGATAATTCTTTGTGTGATAATGTGTAGAATGGAATGTAAACCAAATAATTATTTATATTTTCTATATGTAGGAAATAACCCTGCTTACCAGGAAACCAAGTAGATGAATTCTAAAACACTGTAAGGATAGTGTTTACTTAGTTTCTAAACATCCATCTACATCTATCCACTTCCTTTATTAGTATCTCTTTTTTAGTTTATTTTATTATTTTTAACTTTGACTTCACAGCACAGAAAGTCTGAAAAGTTTCTGCTTTCCGTACTTTTCCTTGCTCTGCTTATCACTGGTTTACTGAGTGATGCATATGAGTCTAGTGTGACTTCTCATGGGACAGGAAATGCAGTGCTGGAAAACGAAGGAAGCATGCATCTGAGCAAAGGTTTGGGGAAAGTTACACAAGAAGTCTATTGTACAGTTCCTCTCTTTTACATATTTATCTCACTGAGTTCACTTTGAAAGAAACCATCTCAAAGAATGCATTGTCTCTTGACTAGAAAAAAGAGAAAACAACTGGAAGAGACGTGACTCATATTCAGTTTACCAGCTGGCCAGACCATGGAGTTCCTGAAGACCCCCACCTGCTCCTCAAACTCCGACGGAGGGTTAATGCTTTCAGCAACTTCTTCAGTGGCCCCATTGTGGTACACTGCAGGTAAAGACTTGTTCTCTACAACTCTGTTGGGCAGCAAGGGACATTTATTGGCTAGTTTCATTTTTTCAACAATTTGCCAATCTGCTAAGATGAATTTAATATTTATTTCTCAAACAGCTATTGTTATAATAAACGGACATTTTATAATTGCATACATTTCTGGGGCATAAACTAATGTTATGATTTGTAAGTACATAACAAAGGCCTGGATGTAAATATGTATATAATTTTCAAGGTGAAACTTGCCTTTTTGCCCACCCTTCATGGCTGCTCCACTTCTTCCTTGTAAACATGGCTCACACTTTTATTTCTTTAAAAAATGTGTGTGTGTGTGTGTGTGTGTGCGTGCACACCCACACACACGTGTGTGGTGTTAAGATAGAGAACAGATTTATAGATTCAGTTCTCTCCTTCCACTTGTAAGTGGAATTCAGGGATCATGCTCAAGTCAGTTTTGTCATTCAAACTCCTTCACCCCCTGAGCCATCTGGTATACCTCTCACTTTTATGTTTGTTCCCATAGTGCTGGTGTTGGGCGCACAGGCACCTACATTGGAATTGATGCTATGCTGGAAGGCTTGGAAGCAGAGGGCAAAGTGGATGTCTATGGTTATGTTGTCAAACTAAGGCGACAGAGGTGTCTGATGGTACAAGTGGAGGTACAGTCAAATTTTTCATGAGTAGGCTCACTTTTGTTTGATGACTTATATCTTCTGGGGGCAATGGAGAGGAGTATAAAAGAAATACATATCATTACAAATTCAAACAGTGGGTGAAGAAGATGTTTTAACTTCTGAAAACTAAAACAAGCTAATCTCCATCAGAAGCATTTTGGATTTATGTTGAAACATTCCATGGAAGAAATATACACTTAAGGTATTCCCCAGACAGTGAAGTTATTTACATTCCTGAGCCTGATGAGAAAGATGAAACAGGTGTTGGCAACTTTTCATAACATTAGCAGATAGAATAGTATCCCGGGTCAAGAGCATCTTGTGTTTTGTTTGTTTTTTCACACAGCCTACCCGGCCTTGAATTTGCATCAGAACTCCTGCCTCAGCCTCCCAGGTGCTAGGCTAACATTCAGTAACCACCACATACTGGAAGAACATATCTCTTTGAACTAGAGTTCAGAAATTCAAATACAGACCCTGAATTGTTCATTTTATATACTGTTGAATTTCTTTTCATCTTTCTATGCCTCAGATAAACTATCCATAAAATGGAAATAGTGCTGAGATAAAGTCAGTATTTACCTCATATAACAATAACAAAACTGGGAAAAAGGAAAGTATAAGTTGAAGCACTTAGACATGTTTGGTGCATATGCTGTGGCATTTGCTAATTGGGAGTGATAGTTATTATTAAAATTGTCTGTTATGACAACAGTACAAGTTTGCCTGTGTAAATGGCCATAAAAAGAAACATGTGCAGGAATGCTCCTTGGATTTAGGATTTAGCATACTTAGAATAACAAAATATAGGAAATAGCCTAAATACCTATAGTGGCGAATGGAAAAAAAATCACAACAAATGACTTGTAGTGTTGGAGACAACAATCCAGTGTGTGTCTCTATACGTGGTCAGATACAGAGATGGAAACCACAGGGGAATAGATATTAGTAAAATACATGTACTTTCGTGTAAATAGACCGGAGTACAGATTTATACAAATATATTGATACCTAGAAAATAAACAGAGTCAAAAGACATGCCAAACCAGAGATGGCAGTTTAAAAGACTTACCAAAAACATATATTTTCCTTAAACAAAGCAAACAAAGAGGACTCAAGTGAGATAAAAGGATTTAGAATTGCTAAATTTGGGTTTGGCATATTAGATCTTAAATAGTCTTCTTCATTGAAGATAAATAATATAAAAACTTTGTATAACATGCTCTATAGTATACCAAAATATTTTCCGTCATATGTTAAAAATGATTATAGTCTTGAATAATACTAATGTCAATCTCAATATTAACCACTGGAGGAAGTAACATACCATGTGCTAGTGAAAAAAAATCTAGATATAAAATGAAAGTCACAAACAGTGGATATTCTATTTGACAAGATAATTTTTTCTTCTAGAGTTTTAGTCCAAAATTCAATTTGTTCATATTATAGAAAAGTGTGAGAGTCAATTTTGAGACTATTTAAGTGCTGCAGATACCAATATTCTTTTATCACACAGCTTCCCAATGTGGGAAAATTTGTATGTATGCATATTTTAGTTACATGTGACATATAGAGCTCTATAGTACATCTTAGTTATGTGTGGTGTTCTTTGCTCTTTTGTAGGCACAGTATATCTTGATCCATCAGGCATTAGTGGAATACAATCAGTTTGGGGAAACAGAAGTGAATTTGTCTGAGTTACATTCGTGTCTACAGAACATGAAGAAGAGAGATCCACCCAGTGACCCCTCTCCTCTGGAGGCTGAATTCCAGGTAGTAATGGTCACAGCATTGACAATGGTTATAAGTAGCTTTGAGGAATAGGGCCTGTTTTTTTTATCTCCTTGCCAGTTACTTGGCTACAAACCAGAGGAGCACAGATGAGGAAGCTAAGACTGAGAGTTCTCAAAAAAAATAATAAAGGCTGCATTTATACACCAGTTACGTAAGAGGCTTGTTTAAATCCTCAAGTCTGAGTCTACAAGTAACATTCTTCTTTTTCACCAAGCTTATATGAAGAGTTTCAAAATATTCACAATAGCCACAGAATTGTCTGCCACAGGCAATGTAGCATCTCACCTTTAAACACTATGTCTGGTTTTGGTTTCAAAAAGAAATAATTAAGAGAATTTACAACTGATTAGAAAGTTGAACTGCTTGGAGCTGGTAGACAGAACATAGAGGATAAATATGTGGGTCTCCACCTCTTTATTGATTCTTCTGAAATCCAACTGGAGATGTAGTTTGCTATGATTTCAGTGTGTTGATATAGCCATGCTCAAGCAACCTAAGTGTCAAAAGTTGTGTGAATTTTTCCACACCACCTGTAATTTCCAATTTACTGAGACATTCAGTTCCATAAGAGAAGGGATGTGCTTTTTATCAGATGCAGACCACTTGACTGTTTAGGATGAAAGCTGATCTGAGCTTGGAAGATGAGGTCAGCATCTAATGATACCGAGTTCTACCACCTTCCCGATAGTGGAGGACTAGCAAACAAAAGCAAGATTGAAAATTAGGGAGCTTTAGCATTATTTTATTTCCCTTTGAACTGATGAACTGACCACAAGCCTACTAAGTCACATGTGAACACTTGTTTGATTATGCTGGCATATTAAAGGTAAATATTTTATGTATAGTCACTAAAAGAAATAGGAATTTGATTTTTACTGAACGGGTACGAATGCATTTATGTTGGATGACAAGGACACTTGTAGGCACAAGAGTAAAAGTGCTTTTCAAGTGGACATTGGAGAGATCTGGGAGAGTCCTGGAGACACTACTCCATCAAGCAGACAGAATGTAGAGACTGGAGACAAGCAGACAGAAAGAGAATGAGAGTGGAGATGCAGAGTGGTTGGCAAATGTGATGGAATGTCAGAAAGTAGAATCAGTTCATAAATGAGTATCTTTCCTTTTGTAAATAATATATGGAAAATGTTTAAATAATACATAATTATACATATTTGTTGCGAAAAGTAGGATGTTCCAAAATATGTTTACTACACATGATAATCATATCAAGCTGTTATTACATTACTTCAACTCCAATTGCTTTTAATTTATGATGGAATTTTAAAGCAAAATCATCAGTGGATAGTAGAAGGAAATCAGGGGAAGGAAGGCAAAATAGATCTTAATGCTTGAGGAGGAAGAAAGGTTAAAAGTAGTTATTTCAAGGATAATAAGATTGTCAGAAACTGTTGTGTGGTCAACTGATGCTTATGGCCATGAATTGAAAGCACCATTCAGAGATTTTGATTGGGTTCTCTGGGGATAAAGATTGTGTAACCCCATATAGATCTGAAAAGCAGTTCTGTGAAAATAAAACAGCAAAGGAGTTGATGGTCTTTGCAAATGAATATTTGAAGCAGTGGATGATGACATAAGGGGTCACATAGAAATCAAGAAAGAAATTCATAAGAACAGTATGTTGGAGACTGATTAAAACACAAATTTCTAGGAGAAAGTTACTAGAATAAATGACTGGGAAGAAGAGTAATTTTCAGTAACATGGATGGTTCAAGTCATTAGTTTAGACATGATGTCATGTCAATAAAATTGACAAAGGTGCAATAGTGAAACTCTATGGGTGAGGAGTAGAAAGAATGATCCCAGGAGGTGAGAATAAGGCAAGGTTACATAAATTACTTCATTAATGCTGGGTTAACCCAAGGAGATGAGACTCCTGTGGGACAGAGCCCATTACTTGCCAGATCTAAAAATAATGAGATCGGGTCATCTTAAAATTGATAGCTGATACCTCTGAGTGGATGATACTGAGTAACGAGTACTACAATATGAGGGAAAGAAAGAAATTAAAGTTATTGTTTCTGTGTCTATGAAATTAGTATAAATGGTTTACAAGTGGGAGCAAAGAATATGTAATTGTTATTCAAACTAGGAGGCTAATAATTTTTTATCGTTAGTTTTTTTTTAATTTTAAATAGCTTGTTTTACATGTCAATCCCAGTTCCCTCTCCCTCCCCTCCTCCCGCACTCCCCTTCCACCCTCCCTCCCACCCTATTGCCACATTTAAGATTGGCAATGATTCAGCTTCTTGGTGGTATCATGTTGTATCTCCTTGGTGTAAAAAGAAAAGGTAAGAAACCGTTGGGAGAAGAGGATCAGGATGTACTTTTGCTGAGGACAGGCAGAAGGTTGAAAGAAAGGTATTTTCTGAGATACCACAGTGCTGCATTAGCTTTCCTTATGGAAAATGAACAGACTTCTGTTCACCCCAGATAGGACACCCAACAAGAAACCAAAGTCACAATTCCATCAGAGTTCAAGTCAAGGAACTAGCAAGTCTACTGGGCTTACTTGAAGGTAAAGGGTTGAATAGAGTATATGTCTCTAACTAAATGGATCATTGCAAAATCCTACACCATCATGAATAATGACCACAAGAAAACTGCATCATGGAGTACCCCTTTCAGCTAATCTTTCATTTCTTATATATTCTAGCATTATTCAAAATCACATGCAGTTGTCCCTGGGACCCTGCCCTTACTTATTCTACTAGGAAGTGGTGGCCTCTTCACCAGTGTCCTCTTCTCCTAACTATTGCTGTACTGCCCTACACACTGTCAGCTTTACTGAGAGGCTTAGGCTTGTGAGCAGTTGAAAGAATCAGGGATTGGCTGGGTGGTGGTGGCTCATGCACCCGGGAGGCAGAGACAGGCGGATCTCTGTGAGTTCGAGGCCAGGCTGGACCGACAGCCTCCAAAACAATACAGAGAAACCCTGTCTCGTAAAACCAAAAAAAAAAAAAATCAGGGATTGAAGAGTAAACAATTCTGCATATCTCACTATTAGAAGATATTCCACCAGTTCCTCTTAGAATACTAAATTCTTGCTGCTTTAAGAGAATGGTTTTTGGGGGGCCTCTCGCAACATGATATAGTTTTTTCCAAGGTAACTGGTTTTCTATGTTACTTACATTTTTCATTGCTTGACCAGGTACCAAAACCAAAACAAAAAACAAACAAACAAAAGAAACCACTTAGGCCAGGCAGTGATGACCAATTCCTTTAATTCCAGCACCGGGGAGGCAGAGGCAGGTGGATCTCTGAGTTCAAGGCCAGCCCTGGTATACAAAGCTACACAGAGAAACACTATCTCAAACAAACAAAAACAGTTTAGACAAAGCAGGAGGGAGGAATGGAGGAAAGGTTTAATCTGGTTTATGGTTTGATGGCTTATTTCATTATGGAGGAGAAAGCTGATGGAAGTGGTTGTTCTCAGGGTTGGATCACAGACCCTTTAGCTACCATCCCCACTTGGCAAATAGTCCATATTTCAGGTATCATCAATATCCTGAAGTCTCCATTGCAGCTTAGGCTTTACCCTCACAGCTTCACACCAACATCACTCCAGAGTTCCATGCAGGACATCCAGCCTTGCTACACACTAGATGACCTTGGTGGCCTTTTGGAACCTTATTGAAAAATTCTATACCATCCATACCCTTGTAAGTCTGAAAACTCAGCATCACAGAAACAATGTCAGATCCCTTTGCCAGATGGAGATGCATCCTTGACCTCATAGATCACAGCTGCAGCTGCCCCTGTGTGTTTCATGGTAGATATTTGTAAAATGCTTTACTGGATAGGATGTCTTTGTTTAAACATTCTATTTTCAAATGAATTTTTCAAATGGATTTCAATTGTTGTATCCTTGCTCTGTCTCCCAGTGGATGGGGTCTTACATCCTTTGGGTATCTTTTTTATGAGCCAGACCTGTTCATTTACAATAATTTCCTGTTACAGGATGGATAGTAATGAAAATCTGTACTTTGTGTTTTTGTCTGATGAAAGAACAAGCTATATTACCTTGTTATCAATCATCTCATAACTAAGAAGCAAATTCTATTAGGTACAAATGACATTTTTCAGTCCCAATTCGACATGTCAAAGCCACAAAACATATGAGCAATAACAAAGGAAAGCATCAGAGTCAAATTTAAAAACTGTCACCCATGGGGAGTTACACAAATTTCACAGGCATTGATGAAGTTCTTCTCTTTAAGTGATATCTAGGTTACGATAATTAAGGAGATATTCAGATTTTAAAGGAAGATTTTTATTTGTTTGTTTTCCCTAGAGACTTCCTTCATACAGGAGCTGGAGGACACAGCACATTGGAAATCAAGATGAAAATAAAAAGAAAAACAGGAATTCTAATGTTATTCCATGTATGTAGTTTACTTTTATATCTTGTATCAGATAAAGCTAAACCATGCTGGAACTTATTTAATCTAAGACATGTACTTGATTTTTAATTGAAAAGAGGTTTGTGGTTATCTAAAATTTAGTTTTAGCAGATTGTTTGGATCCCAATATTTTCAGTGAACACCAGAAGCTGGACAGTATTTAGTGTGTTTTCTTCCCCTGAACCCATGCACATTTGAAAAAACAATAAAACAGAAATAGGTTATAAGAAGATGAAGCCTCTGAGCAGGGGCAAAGAAAGGCTTGGTCTTCATTGTTAGTTTTATCCTGTTTATAGTATATGCCAACGTAATCACAAAATAACAGGGTTTCTAACAGTCATTTGTTCTGTTTATCATTGATGCCTGAGAGGTTGGGGAAAGGTGGAGATGTTCAATAAATTGTCAGTCACTAAATTTACTACATTGATATATGAACAATTTTTAAAGCTTTAATTCTATTTAGTGTTATTGACAGGATCACACCTGATGCTGCTTTGATTGCATCCAGCTGCCTATAGCAAAATTAGCATGGGTGAAATATAATCCAAGCTAATAAACAAGACAACTAGATAAATCAAGGCAATGGATGGCTGACCTACTTAATTTTTGCAGAAGTCCCTCTTAATACAGCAAAAATATGGAACTGATAGTAATGTAGTTAAATATTTCATCATCTGAAATTTTGCTCATTTAAAATATTGAGAAACAAGGAATGCTTTAGCACCAAATAAAATTAGATTAAATAGCAATTAATCTGAATAATGTAGTTAGCAGAAATTGTTAATTTAATGTTAATTAAATAACATTGAAAACAAAAATCTAAGATATGAATTTAATTTATGTTAACCATAAAATGATATCCCACAAATAACTACGGTGTGCATATCAAACACTGAACAATCAGTTGGAGCGTAATATGCTACTTTTTATGACTGGTACTCTTTTTACTGGAACCTCTTTGGGTACTTTCTTCTTTTTTGGATTTCCAAAACTAATTTTTATCATTAAGTATTGAATGACTTAATGATTAGACTCTTATTGCCGTTAGATCAGAACATTTAATTCTGAACTTCCTTTTCATTTCTACCTATCTGCCAGTCACAAATTTGATTACTTTTCATTTGAATTTTTGATTGCACCATGGAATGTTTTCTCACTGAGAGATTCTCTATAGGTGAGCTCAATCCTCAGCTCTGCTTACTTTTCTGGGAAGACTTGCTACTCTTTGTTTTTACGTAGATGACTTTAACAGAGTCCCGCTTAAGCATGAGCTGGAGATGAGCAAAGAGAGTGAGCCTGACTCAGAGGCATCTTCTGATGACGACAGTGACTCAGAGGAAACCAGCAAATATATCAACGCATCATTTGTGATGGTACGTATCTACACTTCCAAACCAGGATCTGACTCTTTGGAGATCATGTCTGTGTGGGTATGTCCACTTGATAAGCTCAGTGATAATCTCATATTCAGAGGCACAAAGCTTTCACCTGGTAATACCATTTTAAATGTATCAAACTTAGTAAAAGATAGTATAAAACTTTATCAGTTGATTCAGAACAAGGAAATGCTATTGCTCATATTTTATGTTAAACACAATAGCAACTAGTTTAAAAAATAAAATTAGAATAAATACAATTAGGAGAAAACATGAGTTATTCAAATCAGCAAAACTGAATTTATATGATGATACAGTGAAAACCTTTTCACTTAGTTATCTAGAATTAGTTATTAATATTGGGACCACCCCAGTACTGGTCTTGATAGTCACATGTCTGCATTTTGAAAGTCTCTCATATGAGTTTATGTGATACACCTTTTTGGAAAATAAGAACAATATATAAACCAAAAGCTAAAAAGGGGATCCAGTAAAGACTTAAGTATTCAGTTGAATTTATTTCTTCTCCTGCAACTCACACTGTAGTGAGTATTAGCTTAATTATGTTATGTCATATCACATAATGCTATGACACAAGTTAATATAGATGCATGATAAGAATAATTTTAAATGCCTATGTTAATTAACTTTACAATTAAAATAACTAACAGAAAAAGTCTTTATAAGAAAAGTTAGTTTTGAAAGGTTGCATTGCATGTTTTAACTCTAATTTCACATTATTAGTTGTGAATAAACCATTTTATGAATAGATACTGCATTTTTCTTGGACTTGAGAATAACTTTGTCTATTAATGGCAATGATACTAAAACAACTATATTTCAAATTATTTAATAGTCTATTGCTGTCTTTTTGATAGCAGCACTAACAAATTCCACCTTGTGATTTTTAGAGTTATTGGAAACCAGAGATGATGATCGCTGCTCAGGGACCACTAAAAGAGACCATTGGTGACTTCTGGCAGATGATATTCCAAAGGAAGGTCAAGGTTATTGTGATGTTGACAGAGTTAACAAGTGGAGACCAGGTTTGTGCCATTTTCCATTCTTGAATTTCTCGTTTATTGCTGTGTTCTCCATGTTTTGATACCCCTGTGACACAGTCCACCTCATTAGTGTTCCTGGCACCATTGCCAGGTTGGCTCCATTATCTTATGTCTGGATTCTGACATTCTTTCAGTCCCTGGAATGGGGAAGGGAGGCACTTACATTGTGAAGGTTATACCTTCCTGCATTTGTCCTATATTTATATGGCAAAATCCATTCTCAATATGCAAACATCCTTTGTACCTCAGTGACCCTCCTCTGCCCCTCCTAACCCCTAACTTTTTGAAATCTTAAGCTATATTCTTTAATCTCTGTTCCCACCTGATGTTATTGCCATACAATTCTGTAATTAGATTTAAACTTTCCATGTACTTTTACTTTTTACTTAATCTATGTGACATATGTTTGGTATTTTCCTTACTATCTAGAGATACCATTAAAACTCTCCAGTGGTATACCATTTAATACGATTTTAGTTCTGCCATATGGTGGAGTTTATTTAGTGAAAACTCTTATAAGCAGGCACCATGATCCATTACTGTCTCTGTCTTCATCTCCCCCTTCTCTTCTCTTTTATCTCTCCTTTATAGATCCTGTCTGCCCAGGCCCCTTTGCTATCTCTTCTCTGTCTCTAACTTTCATCTCTCTGCCTCTCTATTTCTCTTCCTCTCCAGCTCCCTTCTTTACCTTTGTCTCCTGTCAGTGGCTCTGTGTGTTGTCAGTAAATATGGGATGCTAGTTTGTAGAGACCTGCTTTTCCCTTACTCTCCACCCTGACCCTTTGTTTAGATGCTGCCTCAGTGTAACTTCTTGTAGAGCTGGATATCAAGATTCTGGGTGAAGTCTCAGAGCAAAACAAACTCTGTTCTCAAGGACCAGTGGAGGAATAGTGGGGTCCAGTTTGTTGGAAGGGTCGCAGGTGATGTCAGTTCATTTTACGGAATTTTTAAGAGGTTGGATAACAGGGGTTTAAAAAGTGGGACAAATCTCAAACTCCTCTTCCAGAGATGATAAAATTACCCTTGGATTACCTGGATTGTTCACAAGCAAACGTCATGCAGTGAAAGGATCTTCATTGTATCTGAAGTAGATTTTAGATTTGTAAAAAGGTTTCCATTTTAGAATACAATAATTTCAAATTAATAAAAAAGAGGTAAGAAGAGATTGGGGATCTAAATGCTTTAAATAGCACACCCAATACCTATGTAGAATCTGGTAAGTCATGTTCTTTTTATCTAGGAAGTCTGTGCTCAATACTGGGGAGAAGGAAAGCAGACTTACGGAGACATGGAAGTAGTTATGAAAGATACCAACAAATCCTCAGCCTACACTCTCCGTGCCTTTGAACTGAGACATTCTAAGGTAGGTAAACACTTTTGAAAATATTTACTTATGATGTAAGTAATCTGATAGCAAACTAACATAAAGTATTTTATGCCATCAAGGCTACTGTCTATATAATGGTTCTGAATAAAAATTGTAAGTTATTTGAATAAAAACAACTGTGAAGAAAACTCAACTGTCAAAGGATAAAGTGGACTGAACTTCATTTGTGTTAATGTTCCCTTCACTTCTGATTGCAGAGGAAGGAGCCCAGAACTGTGTACCAGTACCAGTGTACCACGTGGAGTGGGGAAGAGCTCCCTGCAGAGCCCAAAGATCTGGTGTCTATGATTCAGAACCTCAAACAGAAGCTTCCCAAGAGTTGCCCTGAAGGGATGAAGTATCACAAACACACGCCAATCCTAGTCCACTGCAGGTCAGGGGGCTGATGGAATGTACTCTAAAGCTGTCAGGACTCTTTATCTGTATTGCATTATATTCTCCTGTTATGTAGAATGTGTGATGATCCACATGAATCATTTCACTCTCATGCTATTCACCTGCAACACAGCTACTATTACAATTTACACAATGCATGTTACAGAATCAGTAATTCTAGGCTGGCAGCTGTTCATTATCATTTCATGTAACCTTTGACTCTTCATCACCTAGCATTAGACTTGGAATCTTATATGTGATAAACAAACAGAAAAATGACAGAGAAATATATGAATGGACTGGCCAATAGATTTCATTATGTATAGAATTACGTTCATTGCATTCATTCTGATGGATATTACAGAACCTGAGAACAGACTGAATGGTGTTTCCAGTAAAAATATTTTAAGCTATTTATTTTTAAACTTTTACAATAGTGTGTGTGTGTGTGTGTGTGTGTGTGTGTGTGTGTGTGTGTGCGTGTGTTCAGCCCATATCATGTATGAGGAGGTCAGAGAACAGCTGTCAGAAACACTTTCCTGCAGTCACTTTGTGGGATTCAATAACTAACTCAGGTCACCAGAACTGAGTACAAGCACCTCTGTCTACTGAGCCTTCCCATGTGGCCTTATTTTAAACATGAACTGAAATTTCAGTGTTTGGCAATTTGTCCTTAAACCCATCTGTGATGATCCTCAAAATCACTCATGCAAATAATATTTAATTTCATTAGTTCTCTCTATGCAGACACTTAACTGTCACCTGCAAGAGACAGCTACATAACCTCCTCAAGACAGATTGAAAAGATGCATAATAGGAAGACACAATGAACACTGTATATCAGGCGAAATGCTTTTACAAGTTTTGAAAGTCCTCATTACTGGCATCACAGATACAGATACAAGCCCTCATTTGTGTACCTTTTCTCAGGATTATTTGAATTTTAAAGTAAAATTTATGTGGAAAGAAAAAGGAAGGACAGAAGTTTAGCCTTGACTGTACTGTTAGGGTGTCACCGCATGTTTCTTAGTGAAGTGTAATGCCGAGTATCTACTGATTACATGAGGTCTGAAATGAAGCTGTGTTGTGTTTTCTACCATTATTCATTCTTTCTTTTGTGGTTGGTAAATTATTTGGTGGTTTTTGTTTTAGTGAATAATTCTGTCAAGCATTGTTTCCCCACCGATGTAGAAGCTGAACACTGTTAAACGTGGTGGGAGAAGCAGAGAAGGGAAGTGTTGTATGGCTAGTATTTGGGCTTAATTTGTTTCTGAAAGTGCTTGGATGCTTCCTGAATCTTTGTTTCCTCACCTACCAAATTGACCTTATTATATTCATTCTAACAGCCCAACACATTGCTAAAAGTGGATTTAAAGACACAAAGCACTAAACATTAAAAAGTATATATTTTTATCATTTTTATTTTAATTTTAAATAGCTTGTTTTACATGTCAATCCCAGTTCCCTCTCCCTCCCCTCCTCCCGCACTCACCTTCCCCCCACCATCCCACCCTATTGCCAAATCCTTCCACATAGGGGATATCTAGAGTCTGTCATTTCACTCTGGGTAGGGTCCAGGCACTCCCCTAAGAGTCCAGGCTGAGAGAGCATTCCTCTTTGTGCTATAGGCACACGATGACTGTTTGTATTCCAGGGATAGACACTGATCCACAACTCAGGGCCCCATAGGTTGCCCAGGCCTTCTCGCTGACACTCACATTTGGGGGGTCCAGATCAGTCCCATGCTGGTCTCCTCACTGTCGGTCTGGGGTCCAAGAGCTCTCCCCTGTTCAGATCAGCTGTCTCTGCTGGTTTTGCCAGCCTAATCTTTGCCAATTTGCTCATCACTCCTCTCTCTCTGTCACTGGGTTCCTTGGGTTCAGTTCAGTGATTAATTGTGTGTTTGCCTCTGCTTCCATCAGTCACAGGATGAAGGCTCCTGGATGGTTATAGACATCAAGTTCATTATCAGGAATGGGCATTCGAGGTGGTCTCCCCACTATTGCTTAGCTTGCCAATTGGTGTTATCCCTTTAGATCACTCGAGGTCACTCTGGTGCCTGATCTGTCTTCTATCCTATGATTCCCTCTTCCCCCTGTTCTACCCCCACCCACTCAACTTCCTGTTCCCCCATGACCAACTCTCTTCCAATCTACATCTCATGAAGTCACAGAATCAACAATGTCACAGTCATATATTGGATAAGTCTGTACCCAAATGCATTAACAGAAATTAATTTGGCCCTTTAAAAAATTAGAGAAGGATGCCCCTAGTAGATATGAAACAAAACCATATCCCACCTCTCAGGGTACATGCTAGTAGCATTTTTGAAATAAAAAGCTGAATTATTTCATTTTCTACTTTTTTGAATCTCCTATTCTTTTGGCAGAGATGGATCCCAGCAGACAGGTTTGTTTTGTGCTTTGTTCAACCTCTTGGAAAGTGCAGAAACAGAAGAAGTGGTTGATGTTTTTCAAGTGGTAAAATCTCTACGCAAAGCACGGCCAGGGATGGTGTGCACCTATGTAAGTGTCCCTTGATGTCACTTCCAAGTCATCTGGTTTCTTTGTGGGTACTTCACTTTCTCTTCTCCTCTCTTCCCTTCTGTTCTCTTCTCTTTTTTATGTTTTCCCACTCATTTTTACATTCTAAATCTCAAAAAAGGACAATCAATAGAAATAAGACCTTAGAGTTGGTCAGCAATTTGTTGTGACAGGCTACATAGTTACATCCTTAAGTGCCCATTCATTGTTTAATTTTCCTTTCTTTAAACAATTATCAGCTAGTCTTGTATAACAAACCAGGTCCAAATTTAGTGGCTTCAATAACATCAGGCATTTCAGAGATATTCTATTGATCTACTGAGTTCCCTGGGGATAGCCAATGAGGCCCAGGTTCTTATGTCTGCTCTCAGCTAATATAGCCACTTAGGTCTGAATGACCTAAAGCAATCTCTGCTGACAGTAAACTGTCAAGTGACTGTCGTTTACCCTTGACAGCAGGAATGAGTAGTCAGTTGGTATATGCAGAAGGCTAACCCAAGCTTACAAAATGGCAGCACATTAAGAGAATCGGCAGAAAGAGGTGTGCCAACTCTTGAAGTCTAGGCCTATAACTATCTCAATATGACTTTCAACCAACACAATCCTGAGGCCAGCCCAGAATCAAGAGGCTGCAGTTCACATTGCACAGTGTTGTCTATACAATGGAAAGCAGTATGTGTTACATTTATGCAATCAGTGTATCCTCTGTCTGCAGTGGTAGCTAGCTGGAGTTGAACAGCAGCAATTGAGAACTTATTCTCGATGTAATTTCTCACCAAAATATACAAAGCTTTTTTTTTTTTTTTTTTGGTTTTTCGAGACAGGGTTTCTCTGTAGCTTTGGAGGCTGTCCTGGAACTAGCTCTTGTAGACCAGGCTGGCCTCGAACTCACAGATATCCGCCTGCCTCTGCCTCCCGAGTGCTGGGATTAAAGGCGTGCGCCACCAACGCCCGGCTTAATATACAAAGCTTTTATGTGAACTGAGTTTGCACTATGAATTTTAAAAAATATTTGAACACCTGAGAAATGCATTGGCTCTAAAGAAACTCAAAGGCACATAAGTATTAAATAATCAAATAATTGAGTTTACATAGAAAGCATAAAAAGGTGAATGGGGCATTTCACTTTAATTTGTGGATTTGAGCAAGTTTCTTGAATGAGGTGATTCCTGCTAGCACTCATAAATGATGAGTGCATTTTCTGTCATCTAGACATTTAAAAGGAGGCAGTTAGTAGTGCTTGCACATTTCTTCTGGACACAAGAACTCTCTCCATGTAAGTTTTGGTGCTTTCTTCCACCAGGAGCAATACCAGTTCCTCTATGATGTCATTGCCAGCACCTACCCTGCCCAGAATGGACAAGTGAAGAAAGCCAACAGTCAAGACAGAATTGAATTTCACAATGAAGTTGGTGAAGACAAGCAGGATGCTAACTGTGTTCATCCAGCTGGTGCTCCGAATAAAACTCAGGAAGACGGTGGAGCTTCGGGAGCTTCTGAGTCCCCCAGTGGTACTGAAGAGCCAGAACTTTCTGCCAATGGTCCTGCGAGCCCAGCTCTAGCTCAGAGTTCATAGGAGAGGGCTCAAGTGGGACAACTCAAAAAGCTCAAATTAGTTATTTCTATTTTTCTAGAACCAGTGAAAGAAAATGGCTGTGCAGGGGTTTGTGGAATCTGTGTCCAATCTTACCACTGTCGAAAAATATTTAAGTTTTGTCAAAATGTTTTGTACAGTTTTATGCTTATTTTAAAAATGTATCTATCAATCAGCAAGAATGTGTGTATAAGTGTGTTGTGTGTGTGAGTGAGCCTAAGTATGAGTTTGTGAGTGTGTAAGGTGTGTGTATGTGTGAGAGAGTATGTGTGTGTGAGAGTGAAGGTGTGGGTGCATGTGTGTATGTATGAAAGAGAGAGAGAGAAGAGAGAAACAGTGAGCTAGATGATATTAGGGAGAGTGCTTTCAAGCTATTCTAAATGCTCTTGAGAAACATTGCCCTTTTTTTCCCCGAAGAAACTATACATTTTATATCTAAATCATTAATTTGCTTGAAGGATCCATTTTTTAAACACCAACTGAGTGTGGACTTAATTATAAGAATACCAATGTGTGCGTTTCTGAAATGACCTCAAGATGTCCTCCTTGTTCTACTGATGATCTTGTAGTTTAGAATGCTATTTCTGGAGATACATAGAAGAATGTAAGAGTGCTGTGGGTCTGTATAGCTGCTGCAGGAAGGCTAACTAAATTAACATTTGGGAATTTATGCTTCACATACTGTCATTTCCTCACTATCTGTTAGTGCATAATTAATCAAACATAAAAATAGCAAGAGAACCTAATTTTGTATACATGTAGGAAATAGAACTTTGTAAATTGGCTGTTGTCTACACAATAAATGAAAATTACTACTTGATGCTCTCAATCATATTTATACATGTTATGACTGAACCTAATAAATTGTCCTTAAACAAATACAGTGTATGTTAAAAGCACATAGAATAAAAACAGGAACCTAAAAATTGGTTTGTGCTGATGATTCACATAAGATTCACATAAGAGACCTCGTACAGGTATCTCACAGAATTCAGCACTCATGAGAAGCATGAAATTGAATGTGCGTATCTACTATGTTTAAAGCCATCTTCATCCTCAATACAGTGCATTTATTTTGAATTTTGTAAATGCTTACTTTGTTACCAAGAAATAATATTGATAACCATAATAAAATTTCAATTATTACCTTCCTTGTTTATATGAAATGTGCTGCATGTTCATATGTGAAATACATATGTGCCTGTTAAAATTTGCTTAATGCAATCGAAACCATTTTCAAAACACTTTCACTGATCCTAATTATTAAAACAAAAACCCTGAAGTTTGTTACAAGTCAGTTCTATAGGGTCTAAGATCTAAAGATTCAGTAATAACTTTCAGATGTAATGGAAACAACACCTTTGATGAAATTTGCACCAGCTGATCACATTAAGTATTTAAGGCATTTAATTAGGTTTGCTGCTTATGGCATCCCTTGTCTGGCTTCTTTAAATTTTCTTGACAATATACCATCAGTGTCTGTACAGCACACTTTATTTTATGTTCTAATTACGTCATTAGTGCATCACACAAAACTGGCTATTAATCCCTATACTAGGGTGCAGCACCTTGCACTATTCCTAGAGGGAGAAAAAGGCAAAATTGACAGGGAAACAGTTTCTTCTTTAAAGGGATAATAGTTTTCTTGTTTTGTTTATTGTTGAGGAAAACGAAGAGTGATCAACGGCAAGCATCAGAAGGCAATACTTCTCTATCTAGTCCTTTAGACTTTCCTCCTTGAGTCTCCCCTATGGAAGGGTTTGTGGCTTTTCACTGGACAGTATCACAGAAGCAGGCAGTTCTGATGGTGGATAATGTTCATGGACATGATGAGGCTGGCGTCTGCACTTATCTGTGAGTGGCATCACAGCACAAAGAACATAACTTCTACATCTTCAGTGATCTCCACTGGGACATATTTCTACAACTGTCTACTTAACAGCCCATTTGCAGCTGCATCAAAAGCTGTATTACTTTGAACTCTGGGAAAACAGCGTGTGAGGGCTGATCTAAACTTCGCTCAATGGTCTGATTTAAGCTTTTGTCAAGAATATGGAGGACTCGTAAAAAAATGTGAATTTCTCCAATTTAAAAAATGTTTTTAGGACATCAGTAATGTATAAAATTACTTATAAGTAAAGTGTTTCTTCAGGGTTTTCAACTGCAGGTAACATCCTCCAGATGTGGGTATTGTTTTCCTCTTGAGGCTATTCTATCAAAATAAATACTTAGAAAATAGAGCCATACCAATTTTTATTAATGCAAAAAGCAAGTTAGAAGACATTTTCTTTTGCAAATGGGATGGTGTGATTAAAGAAGTGGCAAATAATGGCTGAGGAAGTTTGTTCTATGAGAATGTATGTCAAGTGAAAGAGGACACCCATGCACTTGAGTTAGAATTCTAAGTCTAATTTTTAGCTTAAAAATTTTATGTGGGCTACAAAATCATGTCTTTGGCCATGGCTTATATTTATGGGGATCAAGAAAGTGACTTGGCTCAGGCTAATCCTCAGTATTACTAATTTGAAGATAGCATCAGGAAAAAACAAGCAAACAAACAAAAACAAATAAAATGCTCCTACTTAAAAAAAAAGGCTTAGTGCATTTTTGGATTCTGTAAGAGTCCTGTTACTTTTTCAGTTTTTTTATTTTGCTAGTAAGAAGGAGAATTTTTTTTCCTCACTGTTTATTTCTGGTGTCAGAATTCATTGGAAATAAATGATTCATTTAGTAACTTTAAAATTCAACACTCCATAATTTTGTACAAAAGTGACATGCAAGTAGCTGTAGAAAGGAGATATGCATTTTAATATATTTTTGCAAAAATTTAAGCTATGGGAAGTCATTAGCCAGAAAATGTCTTTGCACCATAATTTAAAAACTGTAAGCTTCTGGGGTTGGATAGATGACTGAGGGCTCATATGAAGAATTGGAGAACAGTCACACTAGAGAATTAACAGCACAACCAAAAGCCCCAGAACAAAAAGAAGTAAATTCACTCCATAGGAGTAGACGCCAGGAAATAATCAAACTGAGGGCTGAAATCAATAAAGTCGAAACAAAGAAAACAATACAAAGAATCGATGTAACAAAGAATTGGTTCTTCAAGAAAATCAACAAGCTAGACAAGCCTTTATTCAAACTGACCAAAATGAAGAGAGAACATGCAAATTAACGAAATCTGGAATGAAAAGTGGGACATAACAACAGACACTGAGGAAATCCAGAGAATCTTCAGGGCATACTTTGAAAACCTATACTCCACAAAGGTCGAAAATATAAAGGAAATGGAAAATTTTCTGAATAGATATCACTTACCAATATTAAATCAAGAACAGATGAGCAATTAAACAGACCTATAAGCCCTAATGGAACAGAATCAGTAATCAAAAGTCTCCTAACCAAAAAAAAAGCTCAGGCCCAAATGACTTCAGTACATAATTCTACCAGAAATTCAAAGAACAGCTAATATTAATACTCCTCAAAGCATTCTACACAACAGAGGCAGAAGGTTAACTGTCAAACTTTTTTTTCAAGGCTACAATTATCTTAGTACCCAAGCCACAGAAAGACACTAAGAAAGAGAACTACAAACTAATATCTCACGAACATTGATGCAAAAATACTCAATAAAATGCTGGCAAATCAAATCCAAGAATACATCAGAAAAATCATCTACCATGATCCAGTAGGCTTCATCCCAGTCATTCAGGGATGGTTCAACATATGAAAATCTATCAATGTAATCCACCATACAAACAAACTGCAGAAGAAAAACCACATGATCACCTCACTAGATGCTGAAAAAACCTTTGACAAACTCCAATACTCCTTCATGATAAAGGTTCTGGAGAGATCAGGGGTAAGAGGAAAATACCTGAACATAATAAAAGCAATATACACTAAACCAGCAGCCAACATCAAACTAAATGAAGAGAAACACAATGCAATTCCTCTAAAATTAGGAGCAAGACAAGGTTGTCTACTCTCTCCATATCTCTTCAATACTGTACTTGAAGTTCTAGTTAGAGCAATAAGAAAACAAAAGGAGACCACGGGGATACAAACTGGAAAGGAAGAAGTCAAACTTTCAGTATTTGCAGATGATATGATAGTTTACATAAGTGACCCGAAAAACTCTACCAGGGCACTCCTACAATTGATAGACACCTTCAGCAAAGTGGCAGGATACAAGATTAACTAAAAAAAATCAGTAGCCCTCCTATATACGGATGATAAATGGACTGAGAAAGAAATCAGAGAAACATCACCCTTTACAATAACCAGCAGGGGAGTGCCAGTCTACAATCTCACCACCAGAGAGTCTGGGAAGCAGAGAAGACCCTAAGAGAGTTATGCATGGTACCCCAGAGAATGGAAATGGGACAGGATCTCCTGAGCAGATTGAGAGCATGTGGGAAGGGGAGAGGAAGCTGGGAGAAAGAAAGGGGGAGAAGAGGAGGAGAGAGGAGGCCATGGGGGAGCAGGAAGGTTGAGTCAGGGGAAGAGTAAAGAAGAGCGGGATGAGAAATCTCATAATAGAGGGAGTCATTATTGGTTTGAGGAGATCTGACACTAGTGAGATTTCCAGAGATCTACAAGGATGACACCAACTGGCAATCTAACCAATAGTGCAGAGACTACCTTAAATTCCCTTCCCTGATAATGAGATAGAGGACTATCTTATATGCAATTCTAGAATCTTCATCCAGTGACTGATGGAAGCAGAAAGACACCCACAGCTAAACACTGAACTGAACTCCTGGAACTCAGTTGCCGAGAGGGAGGAATGATGAACAAAGGGGTCAAGACCAGGCTCATGAAACCCACAGAAATAGCTGACCTGAACAAGGGGGAGTTCATGGATCCCAGACTGATGGCTGAGAAGCCTTCGTGGGACTGATCCAGACACCCTAACTTTGGGTGTCAGTGAAGGGCCTTGGCAATCTATGGGGCCTAAGGTAGTAGATCAGTATTTATCCCTGGCATAGGAACAGACTTTGGGAACCCACTCCATATGGAGGGATTCTCTCTCAGCTTGGACATATGTGGGTTAGCCTAGGCTCTGCCCCAGATGATATGACAGACTTTGGAGATCCCCTATGGAAGGCCTCACCTACCCTTGGGAGTGGAGTGGGAATTGGGTGGGTTTGGGGGGTTGGTGAGGGTAGGACAGAAGGGGAGGGAGAGGGAGCTTGGATTGACATGTGAAGCAAGCTTGTTTCTAATTTAAATAAAAAAGAGCAAAAAGAAAAAAGAAAAGAAATAAATGTGTAAAAATAAAATCTTAAAAAAAGAGGCTGTTTTGTTTCAAAAGTAAGGACACAGACATTACTTTCCCTGCTTCTGTTTGTACAAATTTTGCATCACAGGTTGATGTATTATTTCTTTTCTACAGATGGGAGCAGAGCCTTTGGCAAGTTCAGTACCTGGATGCTGCATCACACTCAGCCAGCGACCCAGCCAGCACCTGAGCAAGCTCTTGATTGCACTTGCTCTTCTTGCCAGTGAGAATGACAACTTCAATTTATCTTCTTTTATTTATTTCATGATCAAAGCAAAACTGTATAATGCGCCCTCCACAAAGCTGCACAACACAGTAAGTTTAGTTGAACTCATTCACTACACTGAAAGTTACTGTGCAAAAATAAATGCACTCAGGCATCATGGGATTTTTGTTCCCATAATGCATGTAAACAAACACTGCTCCATCATTAAAGTGAGCATCAGGGACTAAAATATTTTAATTAATCACAAAAGTTGCCATTCCATTTACCCATCATTTGGACATCAGACATTTTTTTTACTTTATAGAGCAGTGGTTCTCAATCTTACTAATGCTGCCACTCATGTTGTGGTGATTCCCCCAACCATAAAATTATTTTCATTACTACTTCATAATTGTAAGTTTTCTACTGTTATAAATCACAGTGTAAATATCTGTGTTTTCTGATGCTCTTAAGGGACCCCTGTAAAAGGGTCATTTGACTACCAGGTTGAGAACACTAGTTTAGATAATATTTTTCTATTTGTTAGCTACTTATCAGTCAGCATATAAAACTACTGACCAGAGGCACCATAAAACACAAGACACATTTATACAAACTGATTTTCATTCACTGTATCTGGAGTGCCACAGGGAGTCT